CAAGATTCCTGACGCTTACAGGGAATGATACAGTCAAAGGTCGCAACAGCCATGCGCCCTCATATCAATGGCAAAACGGCGGTAATGAAACACATGGCATGATATACTACTTATTATTACACTGATCTGTGGAATATTTGGTTCTGATTGATTCCAGCGATACAAGGACTTGGAACAATCAATGCACTACCATTAGAATATGAATAACAATATATTGATTGTATCGACACCACTCTAGACATTCAAATATGCACATGATTTAAATGAAACTATGTGTGGGAAATTCATTTCCTGGGACACCTAAATTATACAGTTTAGCAGTCGAATGGCTGATTGATTACTCCATTACTCCAGTCTTCAGTGTGACATGTTCCTTGAGAAATCAATCTAATATGCTGATTTGCTGCTCAAGAAACATTTTTCATTATTATTATCAATGTAGAAAACAGTGGTGCTGAATATTTTTTTTGTGGAAACCAACCATGATACATTTTGAGACTCTAGAAACTATTCAAATATTTTATAACATTAAATATAAAAATCATTCTATTCATAAATAACAGTGTCCATGTTTTATTAACAGTTCAAGTGAGTATTGTGTAAATACCATGGTAACTATAGTTTCTGTAACCTCAGTCCAAAATACCACCAATTCTACTACTAACTAGGGACGACAACTATTTAAAAGCCTTGCCTTATAATACTGTTTATTCATCATGTTACAATGCGTATACATCGTATACAATATATGTGTATGCTAAGTTAAGTGGGACGATACTTGTGTGTGTAGGTTTAAACATTTGAAAAATAAATTAGCTTGTTTTAAATTCCTAAAAAATTATGTCACAGCTTAATGACCTTGGAAAAATGTGAGTCCCATGGCCAAACCAGAACTACTGCATTAACCAATGTTAACTAATCAAACCTTATAAAGAGTTACCAACAGAACTAATGTCAATAGTCGACTTCTTCAGCAATAACACAAATACAAGCACACCCACCCAGTTTCTCTATTAGACATATTTTATCCCTCACCCTCAAATTTCTGTCTTTTTTGCTTCTCGTACCGTCTCTTCCACTAACTATGTCCCTCATTTTCTCAAGATGATCCCGCATCGGCCTTAGTGATTTACTGTCGGAAGCTGTCTTGGCGTCTCTCTCTCTACAGTTGAATAAGTAGGATCTTCTTGCGCTGTGCCAGGAGACAGAGGGGGCAGCGAGTGCACCATTCCTAACCCAGCGAATGTAGGTCAATACGACCTTTCCCTACCACACATGGAGACAGAGAGAAGAGCCGAACAAGAAACTGAAAAAGATGACAGGGTGAGGGAATAGATGGCTGTGACACAACAGAGACATAGAAGGAGAAAGAGAGAGAGACTAGGGTGAACGGGACGAACGCAAGGACGATCCAGCTGGGGTGGTAACAGTCAACGACAGAAAATGTAACTCCTCAATGCTAACCACATGACGTCTGAGTGTCAGAAAAATTCATCTAACGCTACAGAGAGAAAAAAGAGCTGCCAGGCCACCAAAACCTACCAGGGGGCCTATTAGCCAAGGACAAAGGCACCATCGAAATCAACAGCAGAGCAAGTTAGCACACAATGCGAAGTTCAAAAAAAGTTAATCAGGAAAGAGAAAGGACATAAAACTATGATTTTAACAATCAGAGGGAGTATTCTACAAACAAAAAACAGGAATTTTAAAAGGGTTTTCACAGTGATGCCGTAGCATTTTTGGTTTGCCGAATTGGCTAACCTTTAAACAGTTTTAACCCTTTAATTTTCTTAGCGTGAACATTCCAAACCCTTCTTCCACTATAAAAACCTTTTGTGCAATGGAAAGATTCCATGAATGTTAAAGGTGCCAATAAAGAACCTTTATTTTTAAGAGTGAAGGACATTAAAGGGTTAAAGGGAATATATAGTTCTTAATATTCTAACACCAACGAGACCAGTAGCTCTACATTCATCTTCTTCGCCGTTACGTATGTGTTCGGCAAGACCGATTTGTTTTTGAGCGCCCCCAAGTTGTGTTTTACTGTAACTTCAGAAGTTCCAACACGTGAGCAAAAGTGCCTCATTGGTAAGATTTTTGACGTGGCTTATCAAACTAAAAAAAACGAACCCAAGGCGTTTTTAAAAAAAAAATGACGCTTTTACGCGTGGCGTTTTCAACGTCGGCGTGCACACTCAAATTGGCACCCTTTGTTTAGTCACAATGCGTTAAACGTCAACGAATATCACACACGAAATTCGTCCCGGTGTGAACAGGCCTTAAATGTGTCTTTTTTTTAAATGCCTTCTTTAAACCCAGTTTAATTAATTTAATTTACAGTTTAACGTGGAATGTCACAGAATTCGGCACATTTTGGATGAATAAATCTAAATAATTGAGGGGGGAATAATAAATATATATTTCCTGTTAATACGCTTGGGCTGTGGCCACTATAAGACATTAGGTCAAGAAATCTGCAGAAGAACATTTTCATGAATGAATTGTGAGATTCATCCAATAATTACATACTAATATTTATTCTACATTTAAGACGATTTAGAAGCAACTGAAAACCAAACCATCTGTGTGCCCTTGTTAAGATGAAATTTTCTACAGATATATTTCATCTTAAAGACACAGAGATTTATGTTTACAGATATTAAAGGTGTCTATTAGGTTTGAAATTGTTTAAGATGGTACAGTTAGCTTTGCTTGCTTGCAAAAATTACACACTTCACCTTTAGAGCCAGCTGTCAAAAACGTGCATTGGTCTACTGTATATTTCTTCATGACTTTCAAATAAATTAGTCTAGAATGTTATTTCTGTATTTAATGAGGAACACTTACATATTAGACGACAAACCTTAAGAACGCCAAAAATCCATTGATGAAGTCAATAGAAAGTGTGGCCGAACTTTTCCGAATCATATAACTTCAGAAGTGAACAAGTGAAAATTGTGAAGACCTGCTCAGACTCACAGAAAGAAAATAATTTCTGGCAGCCATTACTCCAGTCTTCAGTGTCACATGATCCTTCAGAAATCATTCTAACATGCTGATTTGGTGCTTATGACATTTCTTATTACGGTCAATGATGAAAACATAAATTGGTGTATCAGACAGCAGACAGGAAGATTCATTTCTATGGCATGTAGACAGATGATGAACACCAGGTCAAAGTGTTTAGTGAGTACAGGGGTGAGGAGGTGGAGGTAGAGACAGTCTATGTATGAGCTGATGCATGTTCAAACATGATGGTACACAGATATGTGCAAAAACTAAATAATACAGGACTAACTTACATAGGCAAACACAACACAAATTTCAAGAGGCTGCAAAGTGGCTATTAATATTTAACAGTAACTTAGTGGCTATGCTAAAAACAAGCAAAATGTTTAAAACCAAAACCCTCGAGAGGTTACTGAAACAACCAAAGATTTCCGGTGTGAAATCTGCAAGATACAGTCCTTCCTATTGTGGTTTCAGTACCAAACCCAAAACAAAACCACTACGCTCGTATCTCAAGAGGGTAATGTCATTTGTGTTGAAACTGGTGTAACTTATCATAATACTTTAAAAACAACTATATCCTTTTAGACCCATCTAGTGTCTTGAAGACTTGAGGTTACCCATCATAAAAACTGTTATAAGGTGGTCTCTCAGCCTGGCCAAGCTGGTGTTCATTTGGTTTAACCAGCAAATTAACCAGTCAAACAGAACGACCAGCTAAAATGTGTCCAAAAACAGCTTGAAACCAGCTTAGGCTGGTTTGAGATGGTTGTATTCAGTAGTACAGGACTTCGTGACCTAGTCTTGGAATGAATATTTCCTGAATGCATTATGCAGAGGCATTAAAAGAGTCTTGTGAATGATTAACTGGGCTTGCAGATGAAAGTCCTGCTACCAGAATGAACAACAAGATGTGTCATATCTGATTTACAAGCCTGTATACAATCATCATCAGATTTCTAATCACTGTATAAACCACATTACATCATCACTAACATAAAAGCAATCTAATATTTGATTAAAATTAATATGAGATTTCATAAGCTGGTCCAACAGACAGAAGGTAATTGTGTCATCAATCTTTTTAGAATAGCTTTGCTAATTTAGCAACCAAAATGCTACACGAGTTAATCAGGTTACAGATTAATCCTGTTTTTAGCTAAATATGCCCGAAGTAACCGCTATCGCGTCTGTCATTATCTTTTACGTGAATAACGACCACAAGACTTGAAGTGCTGAGGTATTTAATATTTTTAACCTCTTTCACCACCTCAATCTATCACACCATGCTAGCGAGTTAGCAGGGAGTTGGAGTGCCACGCCAGGTCATTGTTTACATTGCTGACTACCTTCGCTTCTCAGATTCGTCGGATCGCTCATAAACTACTGATTGTCTGACTAACTAATAGTCATGTGTTTATAAATAATGGCATTTTATTTATCTGTTCAGAAATTGATCATTGGGACTGGAAATTTTTATTGACTTCATTTCCTATGGCTGCCTCAGAATCAAGATAAAAGAGTATGGAGATGATAATAGACTATAAGGGGTTTTGTGGGTAAAATCTGAGTATTTGGGAGTATAGCTAACTGAATTGATTTATTCATGTGGCCTGCACAACACTCCAGCCAACCTTACGTTATATATTTCCAGCCACAAGCCCATGTTGCACGATTGACCCACATAAATTGAACATAAAGATATTTTACTGACAAAGCAGTTAAAATCCATAGGATGAGATTGTGGTTTCTGTAATCATGCTGCTATCTTTAACCAACGGGCAAAAATGACTGGAGCTAACGACACAACCAACTGATATAGGTTGTCATAAACCACATTTTCAACCTAACACTGGTTGTCAAAGCCAATATTATAGATATTTGTTGCACTTAATGCATTATATATGGTAGACAAACGACTGCAAATGCCCAGTGCGACCCAACCTCCCCACCCGAACAATGTCCCGCAGCCTCGCGACTTTCGGGCTTACCAGATTTGAAGAACGTCGCTATATCGGCCGCGTCTTTAGCCGCCTCCTCGGCCCTTCCCCGAGCTCATGGCTGTGGCGAAAAACACAAAAAACTAATATCCAAATTTAAAGTTGCTCTTTATTTTCCCCACAGGCAAAGGGGTTTAGAAAAGATGTCCGCCCCTGTGTCTGAGGAATGATCTGACACGGACGGGAAAGGATCACTTCTGAGTGCTGTGGAACATCACAAAACCTCCTCCATCTTGGATTACACAAATTACTAATAGCGCCGGCCGGCGGCTCTCCCGAGTGTAGCTTAGACTGGAGTCAGAGAAGACTACCGGGGGCGGGAGTTTGCTTCAGAAAAAGCAGCCTTTTCCATTTCCAGTGACCTTAACTGGATCCTCAGGGGGGCCATAATGATTTTTTTTTTTTTTTTTTGGTAGAATATGATGGAATTCGAAACATCCAATTTTCCTTGGCACTTCAAAGACTCTTCATGATAGATCATATATTCATTAGAAATGTGTTTTGATGTTCAAAATGTCTTCTTGGAATTGATTCTCTCAAAACTAAATTGAAAGTTGTTACAGTAACATTGAATGAATACCCAAAAATGAATGAACAGTGAACACACATGTTAAAATGGATAAACACCCACATTTACACTATTATATTTTACACAATATTGTATCTTATTTGTGTGTGTGTGTGTGTGTGTGTGTGTGTGTGTGTGTGTGTGTGTGTGTGTGTGTGTGTGTGTGTGTGAGAGAGAGAGAGAGAGAGAATCTTATGTGTGTGTGTGTCTATATGTGTGTCTGTGTCTGCATTTCTCTGTGTGTGTGTGTGTGTGTGTGTGTGTGTGTGTGTGTGTGTGTGTGTGTGTGTGTGTGTGTGTGTACTGTTGTATTTTGTTTATTTTATTTATTGTCTGTTTTTTTTTTTTTTTTTTTTTTTTTTACATTTGACCTCTGTGTATGTTTTAAAGTTTGCTGATGATTATTATTTTCCCTCATATTGTCTTCAGGTAATTTCTGGCTCATTTTCAATAAAGGCATTTTAGTCCTATGTAATTTTCTTCTATAAGACCACCACATGGCAACAAAAACCACTATAGTACTTTCCTAAACTCCTATAAACACCTGATTGGATTATTGAAACGTTACAATGGAAATGTATGTGAAATACACAATGTCTTTATCTGTGAACTACACGTGAATGAAACAACACCTTGCAATGAATTGTGTCAGGGAAATGCCAAAAGTGATTATAATCCTTCAACAATACTGTAATTATTCCATCAACGTACAATGATTATTATTTTATTATTATTATTATTATGATACACATTGGGACCTGGATTTGGAGGTTTTAGACCTGTAATCATTTTTATGGGTTTTTATTGCGGTCAGGTGGGTGGGCAGTGGGCACAGATCAAAGTTACAAGGTTTCCCGATATGCATACAGTATACATAAGTATACTGTTTTTCCTAATTCTCCCAATCTTTTGGCTTTCGTTTACATTAAATTGTAAACGAGAGGCAGATGGATATATTTCTGTTTGTCAGTGGATTTACAGTACTGTATTTTCACTATAGGCTTCACTTATTGAATCACACCGACCCCTGCTGGATAAAACTGAATGTGCTTTGGGTCTTCAGATAATCTGTTTTTTTTTTTTTGTTTTTTTTTCGAGAGAGAGGACCCGATTTCGCCTTGACCGTTCCAATATGGCGGATAACTTACTTATGGGAGCCCATACAAACAGCCGCTAACGAGGCATCTATGTATGTAGTCTATATGATCAAGGAACAGGTTAGAACCTTTAAATCCCACGTACGGCGTGAAAACCCGTGCCAAATCCCTCGCAACAACAGCAAGCGCTCCTACGTGACTATAATACAAATAAAAAAAATGACGAATTTACCTGTACTTCTCGTAGCAATTCACTGTGTTATATACATTTATTCTAAAATCAGCGGCGTGGATTCAAGACCGCCAGAATACGAGCCGACTGGACCGGGCGTTGATGACGCGATTGAAGAGGTGAGTTGAAAAATTGCGCGTGCTTTTTTGACTTCGGCTTATTAGATAATCGTAAAACGTGCTTTTTGTTTCAGACAAGAGATTTCACAGAATATCTTCAAAGACAAGTCGTGCCTATTCTGAAGAAAAAGTTCAACCGTCTTCCAGGCGTATGTAGACGTCTGAAAAGGAGGAGGATTACAATTCTGGTATTTAATTAAATCTGAATATTGTGACAAGGTCACAAGGACGAATGTCGTGTTTATTTTGCAGTAAAGTAGCATGCACAATTTAGCATTTAAGAAGACAGACCGTCCAACTTTCTTTTTTTTTTAAAGGTCAACTGAAAAACTTTCCCCGCAATTTACACAGTCAAAAATGCTGGGCTATTCCAACCCAAATTTGGGTTAAAATTTAATTAAAAACAATGTACAGTTGAAAGTGAAAGTTGAAGTCGGGTTAAAATTTTAAATTGCATTTTTTTTAACCAATTAATTGGTTTTGTCAAACCTATTATACATAAATAAATAAAATAAACCAATTATTACTAGGTTTGTCCATATTTTACCCAATTCTGGGTTAAAAAAAACCCCAGCATTGTCTGGAGTGCAGTAATATTTTCGGTTCATTGTGATGATTTAATAGCCATTTTGTATTCTTGTTATAAAATTATACAATTCCATCCCAGGGTTTGCTAAACCCAAGTTGAGAAACTCTAGCTTGCAGAAAAAAAACGTGTGTGCATTTGAGAGGAACGTGGCTCTTACCATTTGTCCTTTTCTTTCTTTCCACAGTGCAACACAGCAAAGTTCTGTTCGGCCATGGCATATTCTCAGCATGGCCACATCTGCACCTGCCCAAAAGGATCGAAGTGCTCTCATTTCTTTTTATGGAGTTTGTGATCTCTCTTTTTTAACTTTAATCACAATATACATTATATTCCACCATGAAAGAATAATGTGACCACACGAACAATTCCTTATTCCCATTTATTCCTCTGTCCATCAAGGACAGAAAGTGTCACACATCTTTCATGAAAACACCCTTTACATTTTAGGTAGATCGTTAGAATTGCCTACAGAACAAAGCCTAATGAAATTCACATGGCTTCCTTTTTAAATTGTGGAATTTAAAAACAACCAATCAGCCTTAGCAAAAAGGCATTACTCTGTTCGACTATTCATAATAATAAATAAACAAAAAAACAGGAGCGTAAAGTGATGGGAACAAAATATTTTGCACAATCACCTTCAAAAAACGAGAAGCTGACACAATGTTGATATTTCACTATGAAGAACTTTACAAATAAAGAATTTGACTAAACCTTATCATTTTAATCGCATCAAGTCAAGCAGCTTCAAAATACACTAATGCAGTCTTGCATATATCAATTAAATTTGAATACAGAGCTGGTATTTTTTGAGAACCAAGACATTTGTTCACATTATTGTACATAAAATATCTCAACTCATGAAGACTGAAGTAAAACACAATAAATGAAGAAAAAAAAAATAAAACTTTAATAAAGGGCACCTACAAGTCTCTATAAAATTTTATACTGAACATATAATTAAGCTACTTTATGTTCCTGGAAGAAACCTGTTAATGTTAATAAATGGTTTGAGTGTCAGTTTGGAGAAAGTCAGGAAGTGTAGCACTTTCCAAAATGAACAAAAAACAAAACTTTGATATTCACCGAAACTCTTAACAAACGCATAGAGAAGAAACGTATTTCTTGTTTCAGGACTTTCACCGTACAGTTCATTCTCAGTTTAACAAAAAATACTTGATGTGCTTCAGGATTATTTAAAACATGCAACACACACGCCCGTATTCAATCTACACGCACCACCTTCACAGCATTTGAAAGAACAGGTAATTGCAGAGCTGTACATCTTCTGTTACAAAATAGGGACTGTCTTACTCCTGTCTTGCATACTGTTTGTTGATTTGAATGGATGTTCAAATCTAGTCCACTAAAGTTCAATCCTGCAGAGAAGCATCATCCACCAGTAATGTCAGTAGATCCCACCGTGTCCGTTCAGAGCTTTGTCTTTGTGCGTCCGGTAAGAATAAACCAGTGATAAAGTCTGGAAGTCTCCATGAACTGTTGGGTTTCTGAGAGTTTATAACACCCTTAACTTGTAGTACGGTCCAATCAACTAAATACATTCTATCTGTCTCCGAACCTTGTCTGAGGCTTGGCGGTCAAGTGAGCGTTGCCTTAAGACCACGACTATTGCAAACACAACAGTGAGAGCCAGCATTGTGGCCTCAAACTTCCAAAAGATATGCTCCTCCATTTTGGCGGAGCGACAGCTGAATGGAAAACAAGGAGAAAAAGTGAATTCAATTAGTATGATTTTTTTCTGGAATACCAATTATATCCAGAAATAATTGGTCGCCCTTCATGTTTGTCTGTGGGTTAAGCAAATATTTAGCAAATGCAAAGTATGGGAAAGAGCTGTGACTAAACCTCGTAACTCCATTGGATCCTCAAACCTCAGAAGAGCGTCTTAGAAAGCGATAGACAGATCATCCAAAATTTAAAATGATGTCATTAATTACTCACCCTCATGTCATTCTGATCTTTGTAATGAAATCTGAGAGATTTCTGTCCCTCCATTGACAGCTACGCAACTACCACTTTGACGCTTCAAAAACATCATAAAGAGATCGTAACACTAATTCATATGAATTGAGCGGTTTAATCCAAATTTTCTGAAGAGACTCGACTGCTTTATTTCTAAACATTTAAAGGGATACTCCACTTTTTTGGAAATAGGCTCATTTTACCACTCCCCCAGACTTAAACAGTTGAGTTTCACCATTTTCAAATCCATTCATCTGATTTTCAGATATTTAGAAGAATATCAGTAACCAGACAGTTTCTGGTCTCATTGACTTTCATATTATATATTTTTCCTACTATGGAAGTCAATGAGACCAGATACTGTGTGGCTACTGATATTCTTCTAAATATCAGAAAATCGGCTGAATGGATTCGAAAACGGTAAACTGTTTAACTCTGAGGGAGTTGTAAAATGAGCCTATTTCCATCCAAAAAGTGGAGTATCCCTTTAATTTAGGCTTTTATTCACATATAGTCTGTGTGAAGCACTTCATATTTTATAACATGGCATTTTTGCCGACTGTCAGAAAAAACTGAGCGTCCACATAGCTACAATAAACCTTATAACCTCTAAGATGATGAAAATGTAATGCAGACGCAGATGTTCTGATGACGGATAAAACACATGTCTGACATTCACTGGTCAAAAACCTCGTAACTACATTTGAGCTTGATTTAGGTGAATGTCATCATGACACATGCAAGTGTCTGACCATATATAAAGCCACAATATCAACATGATATAATTTGAAAATTAAGCAGGGTCACAAAATCATCACTTTCGGCCAATTTAGCACAAAACATTTAAATTGTAGCTATTGGGGAAGCAACTGTGACTTGTTAAATGAAATAAATTACTGTTTAGAATTTGCATAAAAATATATAGACAGAGCCTGGGAATTGTTAACCGAACTGGAGTGTGTTAGCCAACTATGTTCCATTGAAGTGTGTTTGTAACGACAGCACTTGCGACTATACTTGGCTTTGGGAAACGCACCCCAGAACAGGATATATATTCTGGACAGAGAGCCACTCACCTCATGTACTCTTCTCTGTTAGACTTAGTGCAGTTGATCGTTTCCACAAACCCTGTTTGGCTGCAGGCTGGTATTGACTTCTGAAAAGAGGGTTTGCATAGCAAACAAAGGAAACTTTTCAATGAATTCTCACAAATGAAAAATGCACTTCTGGAATGATCTGCACTATACTTCCTGAACTTAAGCCAGCTCCTTGTTTCCTGTCTGTCATTATTGGCCAAAATGATTAATTCAGGTGTGTTTGATTATTGTTGCCATGACTACTGAGGTCAAGCACACCTGAATTAATCAATTTGGCCAATAATGACAGACAGGAAACAAGGAGCTGGCTTAAGTTCAAGAAGTAGTGCAGCTGTGCATAAAGCCCATTCACAATCTATCTACACATACATGTATAAACAGAACAGTGTTTCCCCTAGGGGGGGGGGGGGGTCTTTTTATGAATAAAAGAGCATGTCTAATTAATTGAAATCATGTATTATGAACATTTAAGTAAAAAAATGAAAATGAAATATTCAATAATATGAAAAAAATCCCACACTAATTCTGTGTTGTGTTTTTGCTGGTAATAAAATGAAGCCATTAAACACAAATTGTATCATCTATCATAATTTGTTTTTTTAAAATAACGTGTTGCACAATGAGTTTACTGTTAAAATTAAAACATGGTTTATTCCTTAAATTCAGTTTTGTTTTAAAAATTCATCATTTATTTGGATTATTGTTACTGTATTATTACATTAGGACATATATAAATGCTACAGTACAACAGTAATATATTTCTTTCAAGTTAAACCAAACTTTTATTTTGACAGGTTGCCGCAAAGACCTTTTAGTTTCTGTGTGTTTATGTCATGATTATCGTTTCTCAAATGAAGCGGTTAAATGATCACAAAGTGACTTTCAGGCCTCATTTACACTGCATGGTTCAAGTGACCCAAATCCGATTTTTTCCTCTCATGTGGCACAGATCGGATATGACCAGTGAATGTATAAGCAGGAAAAAAAACGCATGGATTCCGATTTTCTCAAATCGGATTCAGGCCTCATTCATATGTGGTAATAAATCGGATATGTGCATTTGCCTGTGCCATGTAAGCTGACAAATCAGATATGCCCCGGTAATGCGAGTCGTACGTCATTAAAAAGTGCACGATTATAGGCGTGATGGAAGAAAGGATACACACAGTGGAGCAATGCGGAGGTTTCATGTATTTTGAGTGTTTGGGGTGAAGAGTACAGGCAAAAATGCAGGGTTGTTACAAAAAAAAATCCGTTTTTGAAGACATTTCACGAGATGTGAGGCATCGTTTTAAGTGCTCGTGGCTAGAGCCTCTCCTCTCTTTTTTTTTCGCCGTACGAGACCAATGTTTTGATGACTTTAATTGAAATATTGTGGAAAGAAAACACTGGATAATTTTATTCGCATCTGGATCCATTGAATTTCGTGCTGTTTTCCTTAATTTCCCGAGTCAGAATGTCTGCATTTGGTAGTTTCAGCAGTGTATAGTGTAAATGCAAAAATCGGATATGGGTCACTTTTAAAAGATGATGTAAGCAGGTCGTCAAAAAAAATCGGATATAGTCAGAAAATCGGATTTGGGCATCAAGACCTGCAGTGTAAATGCAGCCTTAGAGTGGATTTAGAGCCTGGAGAGGAAGTTCATGCATTTCTGTCTTCATATAGGCAAAAAAAAAAAAAAAAACAGCACAAGAGTCACTCGTGCTTCAGTGTGTGCGTGCGTGATAAATGAAACTGCTCGTCGGCGGCACCATTCATTCACACGGAACAAGGCAAGCAGGATTCGTATTTAAAAATGTCTTTGTGGTTTAATATTCACACACACTAGTCTACATCGCGATTTGATTTCAAGTGTACTAAACCGCTTTCTATTTATTCCTCGAAAATATACAGCAAATTCCTTTTTTATGACTGGATTTCGTCAGCATTTTAGCATTCAGCAAAACAATGGTTATTCACCAAGGAAGCATTAAATTGATCTCCAACGACAGTAAAGTGCAGCATTTATAATGTTGTAAAATATTTCTATTTCATATAAAAGCTGTTCTTAATCAGCACAACTCTCAGCATACTAAAATGATCTCGGAAGGATCCATTCTGCTTTGCATCACAGGAATAAAACATATTGTAATAATCACAGCAATACTATTATATTGATCGATTAAATGCAGCCTTGGTGAGCATAAGCTTTCAAAAACATTAAATAAATCTTACTGACCCTAAACTTCTGTGTTTGTGCGCGCACATCCCAGAAACTCACCGAATGGAAACCTTCGCATGCACTGCACTCTTTAGCCACCACAAACTCTTCCAGCTGCCAACATGGTGCTGTCATCGCCTTTGTCACTGCAACTGCAAAAGAAAAAAACACAAGGAGGATTATTAATATATGAACTTGGTATACTCAAGCACAATAATCTATGATGAAATCCTGATGTCTGTAAAGTAAGTACCTGCTGCCTTCTCATCGCTAAGAAGAGCTGCTCCAAACACTCTAGAAAAAAAAAGTGGAAAAGTGTAATGAGTAAACATCATCAAAGGTTATGTTTTGCATTAGGAGAGAATCAATTTCTTACCTGAGAGACACTAAACCCCAGAATAGCGCATGCAGGGCCAGGATCCGGGTCTCAGACAGGACATGGGGATCCTACAGTCACTCTCCATCACTCTGGCGCACATGCGTTTATAAAGCAGCACAACGGATGTTCACTGGCGGTTCATAACTCAAAAATTCTTTTCCTCAGAGGAAGTATCTAAAGAGACACACGTGAAAAAAAAAACGATGAAGCTGAACGCCATGAAAACACTGATATACCATAGACTGTGATGAAGACACACTGACAGGCATTTTGAGGATTGACAATCATAATGACCTGGACTATCACGTGATGAATCAATAAATTGAAGTTACGTGTTTAACAACAACAAAACAGTAATATAAACTAGTAAATCGCTGATGCAGTGTTAGTAGAACAACTAAAAACCTTGAGGAGGTTACTATGGTGTTTGTCAAGCAAACTTACACAACTAAGTTATGCAAGTTAAACCCGTGAAACTTCAGGGAAACAAACAATTGGTAACTATCGTTACACTACAGGTAACGTTAGCTAACAAAAGGTAACGTTAGCAAACTAGTCTAAAGCGAACTTACTTATCTATTTTTTTTAAATTATTAAAGTGAACAATGTTTATCAATCATATCATTATTTACATCACCTTACCGGGTTTTGTCTTATCGCTGAAAAATTCCAAGTTCCAACCGTTAACAAAATATAACTCAGTGTTTGATCTAAACACGGAGAAAGAACAACTTCCGCCGCTTAACAAATGACTTGACTTCTCTAACATTCATCAGGGATAAACCGATTAACACACACACACAGACAGACAGAAGTAGGATCGCTGATGAGCTCACGAGTTTCGTAAACAGAAAGTGTGTTAAAGCTCCAACCAAACACAGTCCACATCATCATCATCAGGGCACGCGCAGTTCCTCACCTGACATCATCATAACCCGAGCGTCCGTCTCTCCGTGAGAGAATCTCTGAAACATTTGACACTCATCGATCACGGTATATTCACACACACACGACTATTACTTCTAAATACACCGTATTAATAGCTTTATTTACTGAGACCTCTAGATGAGGGCCTGCCTGGTGAAACAGAGAGGATTACGTCACACGAGACTTGGGTTTCAAATCAGATAAAAGTGTATCGCCCTCTAGTGGAGCGGCGCTCAATATCCACAAATAAATAAATAAATATTTATGTCATGCTTTTTTGTCTTATTCCTGAACACTGCTCTTATATTGTCTTATAAGCCACTTTGTTTGATATTTAGACAGTTCTACTTTTTTAAAGAGCCCATATACTTTTTTGATGGACACTGCTATCAGTTTTGACTGACACACACATTCAAACCCTAATGCAGATTTGTGTACGAGTAATCATTAGACCCCATTCATTGTTTTAATAATAGTTATAATATATGTTATCTTACCATATATAAGTGCAGTCTTAATTCGATTAATGCAAAGACTTTTATATTGTTGCAGTAAAGTTCTATTTCTAATAAATGCAGTTCTTTTGAACATTGTGTTGTATCCCGGCTTCCACAAAATATTTAGCAGCACAAATATCTTCTTGATAATAATCAGAATTGTTTTTTGAGTAGCAAATCATCATATTAAAATGATTTATGAAGGATCATGTGACAGTGGAGACTGGAGTAATGATGGTGAAAATTCAGCTTTGATCACAGGAATAAATTACATTTTAAAATACATTAAAACAGATGCTAAATTTGCTAAATGAACATAAGAGACTTATTTCAAAAACATTAAAAAGCTTACTGACCCAAACTTTTTTTGTAGTGTATTTACAGTTTACAGTTATAGTTAAATTTATAGTAGTTTATCTAGTTTTAATTATAGTTCCACTGCTTGGTAACAGCCCACAGTCACATGGATAATTTTAATAAATCCAGTTTAACTCATAAACCTGTCATCAGATGTCCAGTCATGTCTGAAGATAGATTTCACTTTCACAAACTCATAAATATTATCAAAATGTATATAGAAAGCATTCAATTACTGTAAATTATTTAAATAGAGATGTGTTACACCCGTGTTTCATAAACAAAATCAAGATTTATTCATTTTTTACAATCATGTCAGAGTAAAACATACATAATATAGATCTCACATTAGCAGTTGCCAATCATATCAATGAAGAAAAAAAGTTACATAATGCCTGAAAGTTTCAGCGTTCTGTTTAAAGGGACGTTAGAGAGATAGTGTGTTTTTCTTTTTTTCAAATACAGTCCAGTAGAAACAAATGAGGAGAAGGAGAATGAAATTTTCAAACAGCATATATTGCAATCTGTGAAGATGTGAGGGAAAAGTAAATGTAGAAAATTCTGCTTAAACTGTGAACTCCAGTTCTGTCCATTAGAAAGATGAATCAATGCTATGACAAGTGGCCTAAACAATCTCTTAGGTCCACCGTTGTACCGTAAACACATGGTCAGTGTGCTCTAGCTGTGTCAGTAAGGCAGAGGAGTGCTGTATTCCTTACGCCCCCTCCATGCTGTCTGTTACCTGAACTGCATGTCATATAAAGCTAGATCCTGTCCCATTAACTGCATGCATACTAACGTAAAGATCATGCATCAATGCTCGTCTCAATGACTTCTCTTAGTTTACTCAAATCTTCAAAATAGTGGCAAGTCTGTACATGTTAAGGTCACGTGTGAGACAACACCGATCAAAGGGGAAAATAATGATCTATTAATCTCTATAGGGATGATGAAATGACAGTCATAACCTGGTCTTAAAGGGATAGTTCACCCAAAAATGACAATTCTGACATCATTTACTATTTACCTTCATGTTGTTTCAAGTGTATATGGCTTTAAGAGAGTCCACGTTGCTCTTTTTAAGCCCTTTGACTTTCATTGGATTGATCTCTGAGAAATTCTACAGAAGAAAGTCATGCAGATTTAGAGAGACCAAAATTACAGAATTTATTGTGCCTTTTAACAGAGTCTTGATTTTGTTTTCGGGCTCAACTAGAATAGGTTTCCATGCTTGGATGTTCCTTATTTTCCACATATTCTCTATTGTTGCAGCTCCTCTCTTCCCAGTCTGTCAGTAACGGTCTGGGTGCGTTTCCCGAAAGCGTCGTTAGTTAGCCAACTATGGTCGCAAGTTTCGTCGTTATCAGCATAGTTCAACGAGTCGGTGTTTCCCGAAACCATCGTTTCAACGAACATTCGCAAACAGCATCGCAAAATTGTGTAGTTTGAACGACAGCTCTCGACCTTTGGTTAGAGGCATCGTTTCTATATTGCATGACATTTGGACGTAATAAATCCTTATCTTGAGCAAAATAAGCAAGCTGACATTCAGTACAACTGGTGCCTTTTATTTAGAATAAATACAAATGTTATTTACGTCTTTTAGTTTGTCAAAAGATTTAAAGTAACTGGTTTGAAGAGTGCGCATGTGCGAACATGCTCTACTATGTAAGAACGAGCCAAATATTGAGTCTGGTAATAAAGCAAAATAACTGAGAACAATTAGAAATAGTCCTCAGATGACATGTCTGTAATTTATATTAACAAATCTAGCGTTAATTGGAATTCAAACAGTTTCATTAAAAGTAGTTATTATCCACCACGTGTAAAACCAACGTGGTTGAACGATATTTTGCGACAATGGGTTTCGGGAAACAGTCGTGACGAGCTAGTTGATTTCTCTAACGATGCATCGTACTATGGTAGTGAAACAGTGAACTACGTCGTTGCACGGGAAACGCACCCGTTTAGTTCCTGTCTCTATGAAGCCCCTCCTTCTGAAAAGCACACTGTGCTCTGATTGGTCAGCTGAATCACTGTGTTGTGATTGGTCAAGCTCTTTAAGCATGTTTGGGAAATGTCCCGCTCCTTAACATAACAACCAAGGTGCGTTCCATTCGACAGGGTCCCTACGCAGTGTTCACTGCTCCCTACTCCCTAAACACAGTACATCAGTTGAGGTGGACTATAATCACTCATTTGGAATGCCCTCCAACATCATCAAAGAAAGGCAAAATTATGGTATAACTTAATTAAATTTTGAAATTTCCTATCTAAGTTAAAATCATATAGGCCTATAGATACATTCACCATTCATAAATACTCTAGTTTGTATAATAAAAACAATATTTATGAATCCTAAATTCACACGTAAACTCAAAGCCGTTCAATCTCTTCCAACGGCTCTGCTCTATGGTTAGTTCCGACTGATGACAGTTGGTTGATTTTCGCTCTCCACTTCCTGTGAAGTGATGTATCTATATTCCCTGCCGAAGTTACGTCACTCTGTTGGCCAAAACGCGGAAGTGAGTTAGCATTTTAGCACTACCGGTTCCCTCGCTCTAAAGTCTATGGGATTTTTGAATGGGTTTTTGCTAAATCGCCTGAAATTGCCCAGATTGTGTTTTTTAAACTTTATTGTGTCTGCTTGTGTTTAAAAAGAAACTCTATTTTGGCTTCAAAATGTATAAATGTTGGATTAACTTGTAAAGATGATCTTGACAGACAAAACGTGTAAAGGTCACAACTCTTTGTTAAATACAGATCTTATTTTATTTTTTTTTGCGATTTTCCAAAAGTCTATGGGGAAATGCATAGCTTTTTGGTCAAGGGAACCCATGCGCCGCTAGCTTCCGAGTTGTCCTACAAAGTGACGTCATCACTTCGGCACTATATTCCCTACGCCGTTTCCTTCGGATTGGAATCTCACTTAAGATGGCGAAATACCCTGTGAAGTCCACTTCGCAGTCCACTTACGGTCGAAAGGAACGCACCTCCAGTTTCAACACACTACTAACTAACTCAACCAGGCCCCATCCCTTTATTTTGCATAGGAACGGGAATTATTTAAATGAGGGATATTGTGACGTGTTTGTTCCCGGAAGAAAACTCAAGACTACAATGGAGGCGTTTCATGGAGTTCAGAAACAGCGACACTTTGTGAAGTGACTTTATAACTTTGCAGAGCTTTTCATGCTTAAACACTAACATCACACACCAAAGAAAGTTAATTTAAGTATAAGTATAATAGTTCCTCGTACATCTTTGAGTGAATTATCCCTTTAAATCTCAACTGATCGCGAGTCATATTGGGGGAGAAGACCTACTTATTGAACTGATGCACATGCAGAATGAAGAGATCGGAGAGAAGGCCAGAGCAACAGAGCTAACTTAAACAAACTAGCTTGAACTACTCAAACTATTAACATGCACTTTAACACTGGCTATTTAATCAAAGAATATTCTTATTTATTTGATGTTCTTGGTTTTTTGCACGGTGGGCTTCTGAGAGGGGACGCAGTGGCAGGGTGATGTCAGAAGAGAGGAGCCCAACAAGCCAAAGTCACGTGTGAAGGAAGCCTGAGAGCCTCAAGTTTTCAAGTTCCTTCCTTCCTGAAGTGCCAAGAGGAACCATGCAGGATGCAAATGACAGGAGATGATGCTTTGGTGGAAACACTGTCCATAAGTCCATCATGCTGTTCTTTACAGCAATCTGTGATGCCGATTTCTCGAAGAGTACTGGATGCAGTACATTCATTAGAAGCTTGTGGCACATGGAGTCTATTGCATCGGGCCAAAGTTTAAGGCCGAGAAGGAGAGCCCGAAAATCAAATTCACTTCGCAATGCCCTGATTTCTTAGAAAAAAGACAGAGAGAAAAATAGAACTGTTCTGGGGGTCTATTGATCATCAAACCCTCAACAAAACCAAGAAACAATATTGGCTTTCCAAAAAAGAAACACCATCAAGGTAAAAGGAACTTGGGAGGGGACAGTTTTGTACCAGTCAAGTTATTTGTCCCCTCCTATTTTGGAAGACTGATATAAAGAGACTCAAATGTTCAACACACAACCTCAATAATGTCTTGTGAGGATGTTTCTCTAAAACTTTCCTGAATCAGGTGGAATGAAATAAAAAGAGAGAGACTGTTACTACAGGCACGCAAAAGTAAAAACTTTGCGAGCATTGTGAAATATAAGAGCGTAGTTTGCGAGGCGTACGCTAGAAAAGTCGGCCAGAAGCCAGCATCCACTGTGCAAAGGAGGAACCCATGTGAGATACAGCAGTTGTTTGGAGGAACTGTGCAAGGTTAGTGTGGGGATTTGTCGGGTCATTCCATGTTGCCACTGTCCGAGTGTGAGATATTAAGGGTGTTTGCTGAGGGGAACAGGTCACGTTGATCAGTCGGACTGTGGTAGTCGGAGGTCAAGTCTGGGTCCATCAGGGACGACAGGGTGAAGTGGGACGAGCCCTTTTTTAGGCACTGCGAGTAGAAGTTTAGTAGCAGGTCCATCTTATTTTCGATGGACTGCACCTGAGGAGGGAAAAAAGAGATCGTAGTCAACTTATAACTAAATATAGTGCTATTTTATGATGATTTAATAATGTTCAGGAATATAATGATTATCTTTTATGTGAAACGCAATGAGTCTACAGATTTATTGCTCAGATTAGATTTTTTTTTTGTCTGGCTGTACACATTATTTTTGTAAATGTGGCCAATATCAGATTTGAGTGTGAACTGATCACGGTCACCAGCATACGCAAAAGAACAATAACAATCAGCATTTAATGCAGTAGTTATAATAATATATCATATTTTAGTAATTAGTAATGAGTAATTAGTCATTAGTAATGAGCCGCAAGTTTGTGCGCGATGGGAGAAACAAAGCTTTTCAAAGCTTTGAATCAATTGTTTGGCAAAATGATTCACTGTTTCGAATCGTTTGAAACGCCACACACTGGTGACGCCTGCTGGTCAAAACTGTGCAAATGCACCAAAAACATGCATAAAAACAGCTTTAAAAAACAAATAGCAAATGTTTTATTGAAAGTATTGATAATACTTTCAATAAAATAATACATAAATAAATAAATAATTGATAATACAGTTTTTCTCCATTGGTTTGGCTCATTATTACATTCTCAAAATAACATGGACAAACCTCCAAACTACTTGGGAATTGTTCACAACAGAATTGAATTTCTCATTCAGTTCATCAAATTGCAATCTCAATGTCTCAATGTCTCAGTACATCTTTGCAAATGATGAAGTACAGGTAGCCTACATTTAGCACAATTTCCAAGTGAATAGATCTTGTTGATCTAAACCGATTGTTCATTCTCAGTCTAATGGTTGTTCACTCCAAAACGTGTCAGTGTCATTTCATTGTATAAGTCATCACATGCACAATAGTCTGTTCAATTGTCAAAATTAGTCAAGAACATACAGTAGTACCATGAATACCATATATAAATCCCTTGGAACAGTTGATACATTTATTACAGCAATTGACAGCTCTTGGCTAACGAAGGAGGATCTAACTAATCTCAGATGACCAATCAAACCGTATGTTTGGTCAAAGAGCTGCAATTACTGTAGTGCCTCCCATGTAAATCTATCTACAGTAATACTGTGGGTTAGTCTAGTCTAGTCTAGTCATTGATGATTTTCCCCCTCCTCTTTCTGCAGTATATTGAACTTGTGGAGAACGTCTCGGGTTATGACTATAACCCTTGTTCCCTGAGAAGGGAACGAGACACTGCGTCGATAAAATCGACTCTTTGGGGACGCTCCCTAAGCGTGCGCCTCTGAAGTATGAATGAAACTAATCCAATCCTGATTGGTGTTGCGTCGTGACGTAACATGTGACGGCATACCCGGAAGTATAAAAGTGACGCTGTCACAACACACACTAGCCTCGCGATGAAGCAAGACGCTCAAGGGTCTGAAAAGGGGGCGTGGCAACACGACGCAGTGTCTCGTTCCCTTCTCAGGGAACAAGGGTTATAGTCATAACCCGAGACGTTCCCTATCGAGGGAACTCAACACTGCGTCGATAAAATCGACTCTTTGGGGAACGAGTACCCACTAGGCCACGCACCGAACAGACCCGCCCCAGAGTGAAACTGATTAGGCACTCAGCAAGGGCCGAGTACGTGTGCACCGGGCGTACTGGGAAGGCTGAGACTGTAAAACCTGATGAAAGTATGCGGGGTAGCCCAGCCGGCTGCCTCACAAATCTCCTGCAGAGGTACTCCCGACAGAAGGGCCCTAGAGGAAGCCATGCCTCTAGTCGAGTGAGCCCTTAAGGCCAAAGGTGAAGGAACCCCACGCACCTTGTAAGCCTCAGTAATAGCCTGGACAATCCAGTTACTTATAGTTTGTTTGGTCGCCGGGAGCCCCCTCTTAGGTGACCCAAAGCATACTAACAACTGGTCAGATCTTCTCCAAGAAGCAGACTTTTCCAAGTATACACTCAAAGCTCTGACGGGGCAGAGCAAGTGAAGCCTCTCTTCTCCGCCGACACATGAGGTGGAGGATGGAATGCCTGAAGGACTACAGAGCGAGCCGTACTCGAAGGAACTTTAGGCACGTAGCCCGGACTCGGGTGCAAAAAGGCCTTTACTTTGCCAGGGGCAAACTCCAAGCAAGCTGGCGTTACCGCCAGGGCCTGGAGATCTCCCACCCTCTTAAGAGAGGTAATCGCTAAGAGAAAGACCATTTTCAACGTTAAGTCCTTAGGCGAAGCCGACTCTAAAGGTTCGAAGGGAGCGAGGGACAACCCTTCCAGAACTATTGCCAGATCCCAGGCAGGCACCCTGGACCTGATCGCCGGCCTCATCCTCCAAGCACCACGGAGAAACCTAATGACCAACTGGTGCCTCCCCAGAGGTCCACCATCTACTGGCGCGTGGAAAGCCGAAACGGCAGCCACGTACACCTTAAGAGTGGACGGGGAGAGACCCGCAGAGAAACGATCCTGAAGGAATTCCAGAACTGAAGCCACTGGGCAGTTTACTGGATCCAACCTTCGTTCTCCACACCAAGTGTGAAACACCTTCCACTTGAGGCCATATAATCTCCTGGTAGATGGGGCCCTAGAGCTAAGTATGGTTTCAACCACCTCAGCTGATAAGCCAGCATTTAGGTACTGAACCCCCTCAGAGGCCAGACCCACAGCTTCCACAACTCTGGGCGAGGGTGGAAGATTGTGCCCTCCGCCTGAGACAATAGATCCCTCCTCAGAGGAATCGGCCATGGCGGAGCTATGAGGAGTGATATTATATCCGAGAACCATACTCGTGTCGGCCATCTCGGGGCAACCAGAAGTAGACTGATGCCCTCTTGACGGACCCTCTCCAGGACCCCTGGGAGCAGAGCGATCGGGGGAAAGCATACAGGCGAAGCCTCGGCCAAGCCTGTACCATGGCATCCAACCCCAGTGGGGCTGGATGTGAGAGGGAGAACCAAAGTGGACAGTGGGACGTCTCTCGAGACGCAAACAGATCCACTTCCATCGGTCCGAACCTCTCCCATATCGACTTCACCACATCCGGATGAAGTCTCCATTCCCCGGGCCTCAGCCCCTGCCTCGACAGGATGTCTGCTCCCCGATTCTGAACCCCTGGGATATACATTGCCCTTATTGACAATATCTTTCCCTGGGACCAAAGGATAATCTGATGCGCCAGTTTGCACAGAGGGCGCGATCTGAGTCCCCCCTGTCGGTTCAGATAGGCCACCACTGACGTATTGTCTGTCCGTATAAGGACGTGGCGACCCTCGATGTCTGGGAGGAAGCTCCTCAAAGCCTTGAATACCGCCATCATCTCCAGGCAATTTATATGCCAAGTGCGATGATGGTCCTGCCACAGACCCCTGGTAAAGCGGCCGTCCATGACCGCGCCCCAGCCCGTAAGGGAGGCGTCTGTCGAAACGGTTTCCCGGCGACATGACACCCCCAACACTGGCCCTTGGGATAGGAACCAAGGCTTCTTCCATATTTGCAGAGACTGAAGGCACTTGCGCGTTACTCTGATCATACGGAACGGATTTCCTTTGGGTGAGAACCCCTTGGTCTTCAACCACCACTGGAGGGGCCTCATGTGAAGGAGGCCCAGAGGAATAATGTTGGATGCCGCTGCCATGAGGCCCAGCATCCTTTGAAAGTGTTTCACAGTGACGGCCTGACCTAGCCTCACCCTGGACACCATCGCCAGAATTGACTCGATACGTGCGGGAGACATACGTGCCTGCATTGTAATCGAGTTCCACACGACTCCCAAAAAGGTCGTGCCCTGGGACGGTTCTAGCACACTCTTCTTCAAATTGAGTCTTAACCCCAATTTTTGAATATGGCCAAGAACGACATCTCGATGCCGAACTGCCATCTCCCGAGACTGGGCCAAAATAAGCCAGTCGTCGAGATAATTCAATACGCGAATCCCCTGAAGTCTCAGTGGAGCAAGGGCCACGTCCATACACTTGGTAAATGTGCGGGGAGAGAGTGCTAGGCCGAACGGAAGAACCCGATATTGGTATGCTTCGCCCCCGAAAGCGAACCTCAGGTACCTCCTGTGACAAGGAAGGATGGAGATGTGAAAATAGGCGTCTTTCAGATCTATCGTGACAAACCAGTCCTCGGATCTGATTTGACTCACGATTGTTGGAATGGTCAACATTCTGAATTTGAACCTTCTCAGAGACCGGTTCAACACCCTGAGATCCAAAATTGGCCTTAACCCCCCATCCTTCTTTGGAACTATAAAGTACCGGCTGTAAAACCCGGACTCCCTGTCTACCGGAAGAACACGTTCTATGGCTCCTTTCGACAGCAGAGTCTGTACTTCTTGTTCCAACACCTGAGCCTGCTCTGGGACCACCGCAGTGAGCACCACCCCAGAGAACTTGGGGGGCGGTGCGCGAACTGCAGTCTGTACCCAACTCGTATTATCTGCAGGACCCATGGAGATATGTTGGGAAGATGATACCATCCCTCTACAAAATCTGCTAAGGGTACCAGCCTCTCGAGGCTGGCCTCTGGTGTCTTTTCGCTGGAAATTGATGCGGCCCGAAGCGCTGTTAACGGCGGACCTGCATCTTTTCCTAGAGGGCCCCGTTGTGAGAACAACCTCGGTTGTCTCACTGCGGAGGGGGCAGCCCTCTGAAGTCCTGCCTTGGCTAGGACCTCTTTTCCGAAGTCCTCTTAGCCTGAATGACGTCCCTCAGGTCGCCCCTCTGGCTGGAGGACTTCGGTTTTTGGGAGCGTTTCCTCTGTTGCCAAGACCCCGGAGGGGGGGCTCTAGAGGAAACGCTCTCCTTCTGCTCTGCCCTGTGGGAGGAGCTGGCTGATGGCTGGGGCTGATTGCTTTGCCCCCCCCTACTAGATTTGGCCTTCGCTTTCCGGGGGAGGTACTGCTGGAACGCCGCAGATTGTTTTCTCGACTCCTGAAACCAGTCGACAACCGAATTAACGGCGTCGCCGAACAGGCCAGAAGCCGAAAGCGGCGCATCCAGCAGGAAGGACCTATCCTTTTCTTTAATACCGGATAAGTTCAGCCACAGATGCCTCTCCGTGGCCACCATGGCCGCCATAGAGCGGCCAATAGCGCTGGCCGCTTCCCTAGTGGCCCGGAGAGACAAATCTGCGGCCTTCCTCAACTCCGCGACATCTTCAGGAGTAGGCCCCTCCCCCTCATCCAAATCTTTCAGGAGGTCGGCCTGGTATGCCTGCAAAATCGCCATTGAGTGCAGACACGAACCAGCCCGACCCGCCGCCATGTAAGCCCTGCCCACCAATGCAGATGTCTCTCTGCAGGGCTTACTAGGCAACACCGGGGTCTTTAGGGAAGACGCCGATTCGGGAGAGAGATAGCTCGCTAAAGCCTCCTCCACCTTCGGCATCTCCCATATCCCATATCTCGAGCCCCCATAACATTGCTGTAATCTATTACATTGGGACTCGAAATACGGGACGAATGCGGTCTTTCCCACGTTCTCGAGATCTCTTTATGGAGATCAGGGAAAAACGGCAGACCCCGGCGGTGAGGCTGTGACCTGCGCTGCAGGTAACGCTCGTCCATTTTACTGGTGACTTGCGTTTCCTGCTCATGTTGTGGCCAGCTGATGTTTAGTCTGGCCACAGCGCGTGTCACAACCTCCACCAGCTCCTCATAACCCAGGCCGCGTGATGGCGTGCTGAGATCACGGTCGTCCGCATCGATGCTGAGCACGTCCCCTTCCTCAGAAGTAGACAGCTCAAGCACCGGGACCTGATCGCGGGTAGGAGAAACCGCAGCGCGGGCTCCCACACCACTCTCAGAGGCTGCGGGACCAGCCGATGGCGAGCGAGAAAATGCCTCAGCATTCTCACTCTCCTCCGCCAGATCCCGCTGCGAACCCCAGGATCTCAGTCGCCGCATCGCCTCGACATATGCGGGACCGGAACCCTGGGGAACGCGAGCCTGACCGTGCTCGTCAAAGCACGCCAGCCGGAGCGCAGCACTCTAATAGGCAAAGCCTCACACATTTCACAAGCAGCCCCCTCGAGAGCTGCCCGTGCGTGCTGCACTCCCAAACAATACACACATAGAGAGTGTGCGTCCCCACCCGTGATGAAACGAGGGCAGGGATGCACACACCTCTTGAATTGTTCACTGGCCATACTTTCTTTCAATAATAAGACAAACAACACCAAATAAGACAGACAGTTTCAACATAAAGCGCTTGCTGAAGAGCGAAAGCTAGTGTGTGTTGTGACAGCGTCACTTTTATACTTCCGGGTATGCCGTCACATGTTACGTCACGACGCAACACCAATCAGGATTGGATTAGTTTCATTCATACTTCAGAGGCGCACGCTTAGGGAGCGTCCCCAAAGAGTCGATTTTATCGACGCAGTGTTGAGTTCCCTCGATAGGGAACATAGAACATTCCTGTGTAATTGGAGGTGTGTCCATGTTGTTTTGAGAATGTATGTTCTTTTACCTCAGATGTATGTAAGTTACATTAGGTGTGTGAATGTTAATGGTTACAATTCCTTGGCGGTATGAGTGCAATGTGTGATGTACTCTTACCCTAAAATCCCCCAAAAAACCAAAAATTTCAGTTTTGTACACAATTGCATCCTGATAGCTAGACAAAAAACAGTCCAGTAACCATTGTCAATGAAGGACTGGGCTAAGGCTGAAAGGTGGACATGAGGGATATTTCAATGGTCCTCTGCCAATGGCAGACTGCCATAGTGACAAAACATCTAAACATTTTGGCTTGCAGTGCTTACACAATGCCAAAGGGACTAAGCATTTTGGGGGCACTGACTATTTAAATAAGAAAGAAATTTAGTTTTGCCACATGAGTGAACTGTTTTGGGAGAGATATGAACTTTTGCAAGTGAGCTATAGGGCCCTATTTTAACAATCTGAAACGCAAGTGTCAAAGCGCAAAGCGCAAGTAACTTTGTGGGCGGATACTGGCGCTGTTACTATTTTTCCGGCGGGATAAATGCCTCTTGCGCCTGGCGCAAATCTAAAAGGGGTTGGTCTGAAGTAGCTTCATTATTCATAGGTGTGGTTTGGGCGTAATGGAAATAAACCAATAAGAGCGTCATATCACATTCCCTTTAAGAGCGTGATGAACGAGGTGCGCTTGTTCCATGGCGCAATTGTATTTTAACAGCGCATTTACCAGACGCGCTTCAGCATCGGTTGAGGAGATCGATGTTCTCGTCAGGGCCGTAAAAGAAAGAGAAGGGAAATTGGGGATGGGACAAACCCACCCAAATTAGCTTCGGTTAAACATGCATATAATAATTTGGGTAAATGTGTAAGCTTTATGCCTATTTTTCCCATCATCATGGACACAACAATGATTTCCCTCATGTTTATATATTTTTCCTTATAATAATGTATCATTTGCAAAAAGTAAAATGCATCTGTTTTGATGAGAGAATCAGCTACAGTGTATGCGCGTTGTTCACACCCTATATTATGGCCAAGCATGCACACTTAAAATAGAATCTGAATGTACGCGCAACGCGGCACTGACTTTAGACCAGTTTTTTTCTGGTCATTGGCGCAATTGTTTTCTGGAACTGCAAAATAGCACCAGGGGTTGTTTGCGCCGACACACGCTTCCTTTTTGCGCCAACCCGGCCAGGGAGCGCAAGTTCATTTCCTAGTTTACCGACGTGCGTCTGTGGAGGAAAAAACCCCGCTTTAGGAATGATAAATGTGTCAGTGTATAAAGTCATTTGCACCGGGTGTTTTGCCATATGATCGAGTTTTAAGAATGTAATTTCTGTTTCAAGAAATGAGCCAAACCAATTGAGAAAAATTGTAACATTGATAATGTTACTGTAAGAAATGTTTCTTCTGCACATTAGAAGGATTTTACTGTATGTGACACTGAACACTGTTTTGGCATGACAGGAATAAATAACATTCTATATATGTTAGAAAACAGTTATTTTAAATTATAGAAAAATGTAATTGAATAAAAAAAATACATGACAGAAAGAGACAGATAGATAGACAGACAGACAATCAGATAGACAGACAGACCAATAGATATATATATAGATAGATAGATAGATAGATAGATAGATAGATAGATGATAGATAGATAGATAGATAGATAGATAGATAGATAGATAGATAGATAGATAGATAGATAGATAGATAGATAGAGACGCTTACCTGTTTCTCCACTTTCATCACTCGCCCCATCATGCTTAATTCGTCCATCTGTTCCAGTTCAGGAGGAGTTTTCTCTCCTTTTTCAGACCTCACCTTTTTATCTGATGAAATGGCACCACGGCCCACGATCTGATCCACCCTTTAAAGACAAAGAAATCAGCGTGACTCATTAGGAAATGCTTTGGTGTTAAGATGAAAAGCTGATAGTGGGATGATCACACCTCATCTGCAGGCTCTTGATTCTGCCCAGCATATCGAGGTGTCCTGCTGAATACTGCTCGATCACATCTTTCACATCGTATGGCCGCAGGGTTTCCTTAAACTTCCTCTTGGCCACCAGGAATTTCAGAATCCTACATTCACATGAGACACAGAAGCATGCTAGAATGACCCAGAATATAGGCAGAATGCCACCATGGCATTACAGGAAAAGATAAAACAGGAATACTGCAAACAAAAGCAAACAGCTGTGAAACGAGTCACAAGATTAATGAGTGTAACAAGATTAATTACAGAAAGGGGCCTTATCAATTACACGAGTGGCTCATGAACTGAGAACGCTTCCCTCACGCCGGGTAATTATTCTGAAGATGACTCCCTCTTTCCACAGAGGGAGAGTGTGCGCGCTATATCTGTTGTGTGACAGAACGTAACCTCAAGGAACCGGAGGAAAAGGGTTTCCCCCCCAGTGTTTGAAGCAGAAGACAAATGACACTGTTGATTCATGCCTTCATGTGTATACACTGTGGAAGAAAGTTATTTAGAAAACAAAGAAAAAAGACATTTGGAAAAATCTATTGTTTTTTACCCCCCACAAATTTTCAAATTATGAAATTACGTATTATTTCCTAATTAAGCCCCCCACGCCGAAACTCATTAAAATGTCAGGTTTAAAATAAAATGATAAATAATCGGCTTTGTATGCACACTTATTTTCATATGCATTAGGAGCGATTGCATTTAGTAGTGATTTACTTAAGTTAAATGAATGTTTTAAATTTTCCAGGCATAGAAATATCACCTTTCACAATAAATACATAAACATTTTGTTATGAATATAAAATTACTGTTTTATTACACAATTTTAAACGGTTGTACCCAATCTGATACATTCTGTCCAATTGTGTTTTTGAAACAACTCAAAATAAAAATATTATAATAATAATATAGCCCTTTATAAATGTCTTACTTTTCCCTTAAAAGCTATTAAATGTAAATTGAATACAAATAAAAGTAAACATCGATTTACACACAGTTGCACAGTTATTCTCTATGAAAATTGAGAATAAACACAATGAATAATTTGAAAACCAATCAAGCACAAATTCCAAACATTTCCAAAATAATAGATCTGATGTTCCATATCCATTTTTTATTGTGATGTCAGGAGAGGAAGTTGTCTTGACCCTGTTATTTTTCTTTAAAATTCAGTACGTCACATGCATCACACACATGACCAGCGTCAGCCAACAGTGAGCCGACGTGTGACGTAGCCCTACGCTATCACACTATGTTAAAGGGTTAGTTCACCCAAAAATGAAAATTCTGCCAGTATTTACTCACCCTCATGTTGTTCCAACCCCGTAAGACCTTCGTTCATCTTCGCAACACAAATTAAGATATTTAAGATATTAAGATCGCTCCTGCATACTAGTCCATAGGCTTCTTGAGAGAATGACACTTGCTGGCATCGAAAAGTCATCAAAGACATAGTTAAAATAGTCCAAGTGACTACAGTGGCTCAGTTTTAACTTTATCAAATGACGAGAATACTTTTTGTGCGCAAAAACAAACAAAAATAACGACTTTATTTCAACTATTCACTTCCTTCTCTATGGGCCTGTAGTCAGTTAACGTAGTGTGATTGCGTAGAGCTACGTCACACGTAAGCTCACTATTGGCCGACGCTGGTCATGTGTGTGATGCGTGTGACGTACAATAACAGAAGCTTACGCTATTAAACTAGTAACCTGACTCGAGGCAGAGGGAGAAATAAACGAATAGTTGAAATAAAGTCGTAATTTTTGTTGTTTTTGCACACAAAAAGTGTTCTCGTCATTTGATAAACTTAAGATTGAGCCCCTGTCACTTGGACTATTTTAACGATGTCCTTTAATGACTTTTCGAGGACAGCAAGTCATTCCCTCAAGAAGCCTATGGACTAGTATACAGGAGCGATCTTAATATCTTAAATATCTTAATTTGTGTTCCGAAGATGAACGAAGGTCTTACAGGGTTGGAACAACATGAGGGTGAGAAAATACTGACAGAATTTTCATTTTTGGGTGAACTAACCCTATAACTGACTAGAGGCGCAAAGAGAAGGAAGTGAATAGTTGAAATAAAGTCGTTATTTTTGTTTGTTTTTGCCCTCAAAAAGTGTTCTCATCGCTTGATAAACTTAAGATTGAGCCACTGTAGTCACTCGGACTATGACTATTTTAACAATGTCTTTAATAACTTTTCAGTGCCGGCAAATTTCAATCCCTTAAGAAGCCTATGGAGGAGTGATCCAGCTCTCAGATTTAATCAAAAAGGTCTTACGGGGTTGGAACAACATGAGGGTGAGTAAAAACTGACAGAATGTTCATTTTTAGGTGAACTATCCCTTTAAACACCTTTTTTCTGTATTAAATTATGATGTAGGGTCCTATTCAGATAAGCAGGATAGCAACTACATCACTGTATATGAGCGGAGCGGAGATGCCCTTGCCCACCAGTGCTTCAGTTTTCACCTGAAGTGTTTTTTCCCCAGTTGTTAGTCAGAAACAGGTTAACTCTCTCTAAATTGGCATTGATCCTTTTATCATCGCCTCTGTGCACTATCAAGCCCTGCTGGCTCAACAGAAAACTGAACAAGGGCGAGTATGTCCACTCAAACACTGCTGATTATTCATCACAGCGAAGAGGATATCCTGTCTTTAGTAGAGAGGCGTTTTATGTTTAATAAGCTTCCGTTACGGAGAGTTTCCGTTCTCAGAATACTACAGGACATTTGTCCTTCCTTATCCTTTAGATTCATTGGCAACCAGCAGGGGGAGAACCAAGTCTTGTACTTGAGCTGGTCTTTATTCTAGCTTTTCATTGTTTTGCAGGAACAGCTTGCGTGTGCAACAGCAAGTGTTGAGGTGTGCATCTCTGCCCGGGTGATGGTGCAGTTTCAGAAGGAGAAGTCCACAGCTGGTCCACGGCACACACAATCCTCCCACACAGAACAAACACGTTTCTTGATGACTCCAGAGTTTGGGCTTTTTTTTGCTGTCTGTATATATTTTTCCCCCCATTTTAATTTTGCAGGTAGCTGCATATTTTGTCAGGGTGGGTCTCAGGTGTGGATAACAGAGGGCGTAAGGAAAAAGAGGGAAAAAAAGAAATCCCATTTATTTCCGTCCTCCAAGGGTTTCCTTAAAACGCTGACTCGCTCACTCGATGGCAATGCACTGTATGGCTCTATCATTATATGGTCAGCTTTAGAATACCCCGGTCCACAGATGCATTTGAGATGGGATCTGTAAGAATAGCTGCATCCACCTTCACTTAATGCGAAAGAACATCCAAACATGCAAAAATCTTGAAAATTGAAAATCCTTTTACTGATCAAGCTGACCTAGTTCAGGGCAGTCTTTTAAACATTTTGCAAGGTGTGCTCTCATTAACCAGGATATATATATATAAAAAAAAAATAAAATAATGAACTGTGCACGTTTACATAAGGGAAATCTGGTTTTAGATCTCTGGTTTTAAAATGTTTTTAGTGATCAAGCAGATTCAGAGCAGTCCTTTAAAAGCTTTGCCAGGTGTGATCTCCCAAAACCAGGAGAACCTTTTAAATTTTATATTATTTGTAATTCAAGGGTTTTTTTTAAGCGAAATCTGTATTTAATTTAGAGCATTGCAGATTCCTCTGTGCTCAGCCTGAATAGCACACACACACTACACAGCAGAACACTGATAAACTGTGGGTCTTCCACAAAAGTGAAACCTCAGCGTTGTGGTGAAGCTAAAATTTTCCTGTTCCTTTAGGACATCAATCTTCCAGAGGGCTCTTATGTAAAAGGCAGAAACTTCTCGCCCAGATAACAGAAAAGGATGCACCTGTGAACATGTACACACCTGGAGCTCTACCTTGAAAATCTGTGTGTGACCTAATCACCCTTGTGTGCTGGTCAGGAGGAAAGGCTTGGAGGTAAGAGTGTTCTCAGTACGGGTGACATTCACAGGTGCAATATGTGCAAGGTGCATGACATTTTTCATGCACATGTGGATGATTCTTCAAATAAATGCATTTTTTTTCTCTGAAATCCTAAAAATTGAAACCCCTTCAAGTCATGTTTGTGTTATGTAAAAACATTTATGTCCTGATCATGACCACAATTGGCCTTTAATGTGTGAGTTTGTGACGTGGATGACATGTAATGACATTTATATGCGTGTGCAATTATGCATTTGGTGTTTTTATCCAAGTGACTTACATTGCATTCGATGTCATTGCTGTCTAGTGCTATGCTGTACTATCTGAGCAATCTGCAGGACAAATTGAAAATATTAATAATAACAATAATAATAGGCAAGAGTGCACAGTAGTAACTCTGTCATTTAAAATGCATTAGGAAATTTGCTGTAATGGAAAATTCATTTTTATGTAACATTGTAGTGTTTATTATAAATGATTTATTCACGCACATTTTTTTAAATTCATGTGATTTTTGCACTGGTGTGAGGACGGGACAATAACCCCTCCTCTCCAGCAACCTGTCATCACATGACATCACAGGAATTTACAAACCATCCCATCAAGCTCACGATTAAGACTTCATTTCATGTAGACTTTAAACAAGTTGTTTTAATTGGCAAATAGTAATACTCTTAAAATTTCAAAGGAAAAAGCTGAATTATTGTTTATTTTTAAGCTATTTTCATTTAAAATCTTCCTAGTGAACAACAGTGTCCCTTATTTGAAGAATCACTCGATGCACATCCTTTACTGACTGAACAGGTTTGCTCTTGCAGCACTGACCAATCAGAGAGAGGCCACTCGCTTCTCAGTAAGAACTTGATCATATTTTTAGAACATCTTGGATTATTTTCTGCTTGTTTAAGCAAGAAGTAGGAACCACAACTGAAGGTTGCCATGCCCTCTTTGAGTCTAACCCCGCTTTGTCTCCATAACGCTCAACTGATGTAATTGCATAGTGAAAAGGTCACGGCTGACGGAGCAGATTCTATACTGAGGTCCCTTTTGCAAAAGACCAACCGTTCATTTAAACTGAACGCCATGCATGGTGACATTATCATTAAGTGAAGTATAGGAGTCTGTAGAGCTGTGTGGTGGTGGACTCACCTAACGGCTCGAATTAGGGTCTTCACTGCTGGAATCACATCCTCCATGGCAACGTCACAGTAAGATTTGTCCTCTGTGTGCTCTTCTCCTACTCCTTCCACTATGAGAGATCAATCCGTAATGAGAGGAGGAAAACGCACACACATTACCGTTCAATGATTTGGGGGCAAATTTAAAAAAAAAAAAGGTATCTTTATTCAGAACGGATGCATTGGATTGATCAAAAGTGGCATTGAAGTGCAGCATTTTTAACTAAAAGCTGTTGTTTTGAACATTCTATTTATTAAATAATCTTGAAAAAAGTGTCAGTTTCCAGCATGACTGTTTTCAACATTGATAATCAGAAATGTTTCTTAAAGCTACACTGTGTAACTCTTTTAGTTTAGTCTTAGCTAAAAAACACTTAGTTCTTTCAAAAATATATGTGCTCATTAATGTATATTTACTTCGTTCAAGTAATAAAGTATTCTTGTGAGTGTATAATATGGCATTGAAAATAAATACGGGTAAGGGCTTCTAATGTCGCTCGCCATGTTGCCCCTCCATCTTGAAAGTACATTAGCCAAAGAGGGACATACCCGTTAATTCAAGCTTCGCCTTCCGCGTTTACGCTTGAGTTAACACTCATGGACGAGGTCGAACTGGAAGCCATGTTAATCTTGGACTACATTGGCCACCGTAGGAGTTAAAACGAAATCGGAATTGAGAGGAACAGAAACTAATATTCACTGGATGGTCATATACCTTTTCACCACTAGATGGGGGTAAAATTCACACAGTGTAGCTTTAAGCAGCAAATCAGTATATTACAATGATTTCTAAAGTATCATGTGACACTGAAGACTGGAGTAATGATGCTGAAAATTCAGCTTTATCTTCACAGGAATTAAATGACACTTTATAATACATGAAAATTGTTTTCAATTGTAAAAATATTCCAAATATTACTATTGTACTATATTTTTGGGCAAATGGACACTTTTTACATTTCCGGGGCTCTCAGAAGTGGAAGTCATCGTAGTTACAGTGGTGAATGGGAGACGAAAGTAAATATATTTTCTGTATTTCCATTTACTCAAAGTGCTTTGGCGTGAACGACTTTTAATTTCTTAAACAACCATGCAGGAAGACACATCATGGCCATACTGACCAAAAATCTATGTACCTGTAGATGGAAATAAATGTTGTGATGTCATTTCCATCAAAAATTGTTGGTCAAAATCTTGTATTGACAAAGCACTCTGTAAAGTCTCATCCAGCACATCCCACACACTTTCAATGAATTTAAAGGGTTAGTTCACCCAAAAATGAAAATTATGTCAGTATTTACTCACCATCAATTTGTTCCAAACCTCTTTGTGTTTATTTGTTCTGCTGAACACAAAGGAAGATATTTGGAAGAATGTTTTAATCAAACAGATTTCTTCCCCATTGACTACCATAGTATTTTCCTGGTAGTCAATGGGGAATGAGATCTGTTTGATTAAAACATTCTTCCAAATATCTTTCTTTGTGTTCAGCAGAACAAATAAACACATAGAGGTTTGGTTTGGATCAACTTGATGGTGAGTAAATACTGACAGAATTTTCATTTTTGGGTGAACTAACCCTTAAACTTTAAGGACTCAGAGGAGCCACTTCATGTGTGTAAATTATTCTTCATGCTCCTCCCAACCATTCTTTTTATGGTCTTTCTTTATGGAAATGAAAAGCTGCACACTTCTCCATCAACTAGGCTTAGAAGAACTGTTGCGAAACATCTAACATGAAAAGGATCCAATCATAGACTCTTAAGCATTTGCTTGTATAAATCCAAACAGCGACTTTTAGTTTTGGGCTGGGCAGTGTATATTATAAATGAAAATATGAAAAGCTTTACTAGATTTGTGATGCCGATAACTGTGGAAACGTTTCAGAAAAAAGGGTCCATAAATGCAGCCTAGTTGAGACTTCTTTCGGAAAATTAAAAAAATCGTATTGACCCAAACTTTTGAACAGTAGGTACGTATACAGTCACCAAAAGGATTATTAGGAACACCGTACTAATACTTTGACCCCCTTTTGCCTTCAGAACTGACTTAATTCTACGTGGCATTGATTCAACAAGGTGCTGAAAGCATTCTTTAGAAATGTTGGCCCATATTGATAGGATAGCATCTTGCAGTTGATGGAGATTTGTGGGATGCACATCCAGGGCACGAAGTTCTCGTTCCACCACATCCCAAAGATGCTCTATTGGGTTGAGATCTGCCATTTTAGTACAGTGAACTCATTGTCATGTTCAAGAAACCAATTTGAAATGATTCGAGCTTTGTGACATGGTGCATTATCCTGCTGGAAGTAGCCATCAGAGGATGGTACATGGTGTCCATAAAGGGATGGACATGGTCAGAAACAATGCTCAGGTAGGCCGTGGCATTTAAACGATGCCCAATTGGCACTAAGGGGCCTAAAGTGTGCCAAGAAAACATCCCCCACACCATTACACCACCACCACCAGCCTGCACAGTGGTAACAAGGCATGATGGACCCATGTTCTCATTCTGTTTACGCCGAATTCTGACTCTACCATCTGAATGTCTCAACAGAAATCGAGACTCATCAGACCAGGCAACATTTTTCCAGTCTTCAACTGTCCAATTTTGGTGAGCTCTTGCAAATTTTCGCCTCTTTTTCCTATTTGTAGTGGAGATGAGTGGGTGAGTTCTCCTGTTGTAGCCCATCCGACTCAAGGTTGTGCGTGTTGTGGCTTCATAAATGCTTTGCTGCATACCTCGGTTGTAACAAGTGGTTATTTCAGTCAAAGTTGCTCTTCTATCAGCTTGAATCAGTCGAATCAGCTTGAATCAGTCGGCCCATTCTCCTCTGACCTCTAGCATCAACAAGGCATTTTCGCCCGCAGGACTGCCGCATACTGGATGTTTTTCCCTTTTCACACCATTCTTTGTAAACCCTAGAAATAGTTGTGCATGAAAATCCCAGTAATTGAGCAGATTGTGAAATACTCAGACCGGCCCATCTGGCATCAACAACCATGCCACGCTCAAAATTGCTTAAATCACCTTTCTTTCCCATTCTGACATTCAGTTTGGAGTTCAGGAGATTGTCTTGATCAGGAAAACACCCCAAAATGCAATGAAGCAATTGCGATGTGATTGGTTGATTAGATAATTGCATTAATGAGAAATTGAACAGGTGTTCCTAATAATCCTTTAGGTGAGTGTATACACATGTATCTGCATGAAGGTGAACATGTCAACAGAGGTATCTACCATCTGCAGCGGGTCGTGGTTTTAGGCGGAGAGATGTACGGAATCGAGTCCGATCATTGAAGCTCCAGCTTTTCTGGACCTTGCCGGGGCTGGTGGCTTCAGGAACGTTCTCCGTGCTGGGCGAGCGCCGTACATTACCTGGGGGCAAAGGAGAAGCCTTGCTCCGGATAGCCTGAGAGGAGCGGGAATTGTTCATCCTAATGCGGTCCCGGAAGCCCATCTTCCCACTGGCGAGAGAATTAGAGGAATGATCTGAGTTGGTGACAAACAAGGAAATTAATCAATCTTCTCATTAGCGCTGCCTTGGTTTTCTGTATAAGACTTTCTCCTACATTTTCCATAATGTGAAACTTTTTTCAGAGACTATGTTTGCTAATGTAAGAGGACATATCAACATAGACAAACAGACAAAAGGTTAGGAAACACACATCGATCTATTTACTGGTGGTGAGTTTAATTTACATGAGAACGCTGACACAACAAAGGAAAATGGTAAGTCAAAGACATATGCTGCCCTGTGTGAGCATCACATAATTTCATAGACATTTGGGTTTATATTGAAATATTTAAGAAAGCATATGAGCGCAATTTATTGAGCTAAATGGGACGTGACAGTGTGTAAATCGTGCCATCAAAAGGAGCAACTGGAGAAATGCAAGAGCACTCTTTGAATCCATGGTACCACGCACAAGCATGCTAAAGAATGTATTTTTTAGCCGAAACATTACGTGTAATCTTATTTTAAAATGATGACATTTCAAATAATTGATTACAACATGCCACAAAGTAAGATTTTCTACAGTCCTAATAGCAGTCATTATTGAAATATTGTTTCAATCATGCACATCGAGGTCACAAACCTCATGCACACTTTATCAAAGAGCATCATTTTGTAACTCATCTGATTACTTTTAGCATGCTAACACATGCTTAAGTACATTAAAGGATCTGACTAACAACTCGTACATGCATACCTCCCCTACAAAATGTCTGACCTTAAAAATTGTTGATGTCCCTGCATGCCATAAGTTATTTAGCCACTCAAGAATAACCGTTAAGTTTAACTGACATGCAAATCCAAATAAACCATGATGAGAAGCGATTGAGGTTTCAGTAACACCCGACCGCATGGTTTATCTTTGCCCTGTGAGCACATGCAGGCCTCATCTGTGTGCATTCAGCACAGATACACAGCCCTCTGTTCTCTGATCAGCCTCTCACAGATAAGGGCAGTGGATCTCTGAGATTATTGAGCTAGTGCAGCCTTCACGTTAGGAATAACTGAGTACAGTCATGATGAATGCCTCGTCAGAGAAAGCATCAACGAGTCTCGCTGCACTGGATCAGTAAGGCTCAGAGAGTTTCAGGCATCAAGGACGGGACGGATCGAGCCCAGTGTGCACAGGCACATCACACATGGATACCTCTGCTTACTGCCAGTATGAATCCGGAAGAAACCCCTCTTTTTAGATACGAGCTGACTGAAGAGACACATAAGGGAGAGGGAGGGATTCGTGAGGGGTTGTGAGGGTTAGTCGGCTGTGCCAGGACGCACGTGTTACACTTGTTTTTAGTGTGCATTTTCGGGCAAACATTAAAATTTATCAGACACAATTCACATGGATCTTGTTCTTGTAAGTGGATTTGAATCCAACTCAGTTTGTGTAGCTTAAAGATAAACTATGTAACTTTTGGCGCTCCAGCGGTTAATAAACAAAACTGCATGCATCTTGCAGAAGAACATAGCCGGAGCTACTTCTCTCTGTTTATGTCAATGACAAGTGGATTCTCCACTTTGGTGGGCGACTCGGTCTATAACAGTCCTTATTTGTCACACTTTAGATTAGGGTCCAATTCTCACTATTAACTATGACTTTTGCCTCCATAAACTCCTAATTACTGCTTACTAGTTAGTAAGGTAGTTGTTCAGTTTAGGTATTTGGAAGGATTAAGGGATGTAGAATATGGTCATGCAGGATAAGGCATTAACGTGTGCTTTATAATGGTGCGTTCACACCGGACTCGAATAGTGCGTCAGGCGCGAATGATTTCAAGTCAATGCAAAGACGCATTATGCGCATAAAAAAATTCCTGCGGCGCGAATGAGGCGTAGAGCGCAGCGCGGTAAACGCAAATGATTTAGTTGAGACTGATCTCATGAAGTAGCGTGTGTATGACACGCCAATTCGTATTTCCATTTTTGGCGTGCTATCAGCACGCATAATCGCTTTTCAGCGTGTTTATGAACGCCGTTGACTTAACGTTATTACTGTATATATAAATATATGACTTAACTCAACCCCATCCCTAAACCTACCCGTCACTGGGGTTAATTGCATTTATGAGTCTTCCCCTACCATCCTAGGAAAAAAAATTGCTCCCTAATTGTAGATCCACAGTTTGCTTCGTTTCGCTTCGTTTCATACCTCATTTGACGGTGTGTACAGACACGCGGAATCACTCGGACATTAATGGCGTAGATATACACGCATACACGCGGATACACGCAGATAGCTCAAAATGTGTAGAGATAACACGCCACCTGACTCGAAAGTGGCGTGTATGTTTACGCAAAAGTCGTGATGTCATGTTGTTTAGTTGAAGTAGTCACGTTGAAAAACTGAACTTTGGCGTCAATTCGCGCTGTGGTGAAGGATCTGGATGCTTCAATAAATTATTTTGTAATATGACTAAATGCCTGTGTGGCACAACAAAGCAAATATTTTATCAATTAAAACTTTATTTCAATATACGAGATATGTTCATTCTGTATTGAATGTTATTTATTCCATATCTAGATTATATGAAATATTATTATGATGTAAAGACAACCAACATACATGTGCATAAGTTTGTGTCTGAACATGAGATAAAAAAAAATCACAGGACAGGTTAATAACTTTTGGAGACTGGCTCTATTTATCATCAAAACAAATGACAGATTAGTGGATGAGGGCGAGGGTGATCCTCGCACTGATGCGGGACAACAATTTATCAAACTGGGTGCGGGACAGGCGGAAGAACCGCTGACAGCAGCCGTCATACAGGCGCAGCTCCTGGAGCGAGCAAATGGTGAAACTCGCCAAACGGTTCGCCTCTGAAGGGTCCAGTGGACACAAAAATGGCGACGATGCCGCTGTTCTGCTCTCCAGAGCAAATACAGAGCAGTGACTCTCTCGATGAATGCTCGATCAACATAAAAAATATGGCCGCCAACGGGTTTCAATTCTGACGCGTGAGACGCACGTAATTTCCGCTTAAAACTTCATTTTTATACCCGCGAATTAACACAAAGTGGTCAAGCCTCAAACTAGACGCGGTAGACGCGAATTTGATGAGCTATTCACGTCCTGTGGGAACATGATGTAGTCCCTCATTATGTAAATGTTATACAATTTAAACAAAAAAGTTACATAGTGTACCTTTAATGTAATAACTTAAATGCAAGTTTTTCATTCTAAAGGAACAGTTCATCCAAAAATGCAAGTTTGATCCTCATGTACTCAAAACTAGTATGAATTTCTTTCTTCTGTGGGACACAAAAGGAGATGTTTTGATGCTTTTTTCCATACAATGAAAGTCAACGGGGACTGGGGCGATCAAGCTCTAAAAATGAAAGTAGTAAACAAAAAGTAGTCCATGCAGACATCTGTGATATATTTCAAGCTAAAATACTGTATATAGCTTTGTGTGAGGAACACGCCAAAATTTAAGCTTCTATTTGCTTACACTGCATTCACAGCATGTCGTAATGTACCGTAATCACGAGATGAAAACAAAAATGAATTTGCAGTGGTCAAGTGGTACAAGTCGGAGAAATTTTAAAGGTAAAAAGTTATATTTACGAGTCCTATGAAGACATGAACGCTTTTTACAAGTCGGAATCTCATAATTATGGCGTGAACGCACCTTAAAATCCATCCGCTGTTGCTTTCAAAACTCATATAACAAATCTATCGTATGGCTCCAGCACACAAGATGTATGGACCAGTTATAATGGCTTTTTTTCTAATTTTTTGTTCGTTCTTAACAGCTCCAATTTACTTTAATTGTTAATACTGCTAAATATCTCTATCTGTGTTCCACAGATGAATAAAAATCATACAGGTTTAGAGCAACATCAGGCTCGCTGTTCCCTTTGGGCAATAACGTGCACTTCAAAACAAAGTGTAACTTAAAAATAAGTGGAGAAATAAGTGCTTTTGGACAAAGGGTTGATGGGCTCACAACACACACAATCAGGATCAGCCTTTCAGAACATCTCTGGTCTTTTTTTTTTTTGCACTGAAATGAAAAACTGCCCCAGGATCAATTTTAAGGGATACAACATGTGCAACTTATAGGGGTGAAAGGTCATTTAGAGGAAGTTGAATGAGGCGGCAGGGATAGGGTGGCATGCAGAAACTGGCCACTAGAGGTCAATGCATCTGAATGCAGCCAACCATCATCACGTTCATTTTAACATCGTCACTCGAAACAAAAAGCACCTCAAACTGTAAACACGGCATGGCCAATGACACTTCCCATTGGGCGAAATTGGCGTCTCAAAAGCCTATCACAAACCTGCATGAAACGTCAGTCCTCCTGAAAACGTGAATGGATGGAGTGATGGAAGAGAGATGAGGAGGAGAGGAGGAGAATGGAGAAGTTGAATGAAGGGCTATGAAGATGGAGTGTGAGACACACTGTAATGTCAAAGGGTAAAGAGATAATGCTCGCACACAAATGTGCACAGGCATTAACACACACAAAGGCCATTGAATGGCATCAGATACGTGATCAGTTAAGGAGATTTTCTATTATATAGGCTGCACAAATATGAACTACTAAAAGGCTATATTTTCTCTCTCAAACTTCCAACTTATCTCCCACAAATTAAAGAGTAGAACATCTCATATCTGATACGTCTTTCAATGTCCTAGTATAGTTGTGTAGTATTAGTATCAGCACAAAAAACAAGACACAAGCAGACAGAAAGGCACGCAAAAACACAAACACTTCTGCAACTGATTTAACTGCAGATTATTGGAGAGTCAGGTGCTGAACTTCCTGTGAACACTTTACATAATGATTTAAAGTGCCCCTATTACCGTTATGCGTTCTTTTGGATATTATCTTTCATGTAGTGTGTGATTGCTATTTGTCAATGTAAAAGGTGAATTATTGTCTCCCTGATGCCTGAAAGGAGTCATCAGCAATTCCAGTCTTACTTCTAGCATGATCGTACGTAGGTTTGTAATGCATTTGCATAATGGTCTTCATTGGCTGCCTGTGAACAACTTCTACTTTGAACCGCCCTCAAACACTGTTGTAGCTGAGACTGGAAGAGTTTGGTTCGTGTTGTTGACGTGGTTTTCAGCGCTGCGAAAACAAATACATTTTGGGCTATGTTTACGCGGAAACGTTCTGAAGAGAAAATGCCAAAGTGGAGTTGCGTTATCACTTTGTGTTTAGACAAGCGTTATGGATGGGAAATCTGTGTGCATTTGGTGACGTAAAATTGAGTGAAATTCGATGTAATGTGCAAGCAGATCTGTGCCTTCACTGTCTAACAGACTTTTGTGTTTTTACCCTTTAGATGTCGTGAATGCGACGGTGAGCGTTTTTAAGATTTTAACTCTGGAGGCTGGTTTCACTTTTTTTTTACCACTAATAAGGCTCAAAATAGCCCCACAGTAACACGGTAGCATAATAAGGGTCCCTACATTCAAACCGAAGCATTGAGAACTTTGTCAGTGTCCATACAGTTTAATAAGAAGATCATTTATACACACAGTCAACTTCGCGAATACAGGAAGAAGCCATCTTTGAAAAATAGTCTCTACCAGTCGATCTACGAACACCGATCCATGTGTGCTGGTGAGATGTGAATAAGGTGATAAGGTGAGTGCGAACAGTAGGCTACGTGTACATCCTGAAGAGAAGAAATTGGTTCGTGTTTGTGTTTCTTCCGGAAACAACGGACCATATGAGATTCTGCACAGTTCAGCGCACATGGATCGGCGTTAGTAGATCTACTGGTAGAGACTATTTTTCAAAGATGGCTTCTTCCTGTTTTTGCGAAGTTGACTGTATGTATAAATGATCTTCTTATTAAACTGTATGGACACTGACAAAGTTCTCAATGCTTCGGTTTGAATGTAGGGACCCTTATTATGCTACCGTGTTACTGTGGGGCTATTTTGAGCCTTGTTAGTGGTAATAACAAGTGATTTTTATTTGTCATTACTCTATGCCCTATATACTAGCGTTATACTAGCATTATAGGCTAAACTGTTTTTAGAGATAAAACTATTTACATTCGGCAATCATGAAAGCAAATCTCAGATAACGGTTGACTAGGTAACAATGTGTAATTAGACCAAAGGTTCATTTTGCGCCAGAGTTCTTCTTTAAGCCCCAAAAACACAGTCACCTTGTAAACGAAAGATAAAATCTGATAAAATCTTTTTACGTTTTCACCCGAGAGCGTTCTTGTGTTAACAGGGCCTACATGCGCTTCAAAGGATGAGGACTCGAGCTTGAAATCAATAGAGTAAAACCGATGCCATTGTTACTGTTTGTATTAGGGGTTAAACAAATTGTTGCTGATCCGTGATCCATACACGTTTTGCAAGTTTTGTCTTGTTAGATTGCACATTCAGTCGATTTTAAACCATTCCAGTGCTAGAAGAAGCAAAAGAGAATTTAATTCGGTACTCGCCCTCCCTAGTTACTGTTGCTACGCCTGTCAAGCTTTCGCGGCTGGCACATCTATTACAGTGTGTATGCACCGGTGTCAGACATTCCCAATCAGATAATTAGTAATTTTTGGCGAACATATTAAATATCTGAGAGAGCAAGACAAAAGGGACTTCAGTATTCCATTAGAGGGATATATCCATGACATAATATGCAACCGATTAGATAATAATTTCATAAAAATTTAAGCTAAAGCCTATAGTCCCAGCGCAAGCAGCAGCCGCCTCATATGCTGCTGACCATTCAAATAGGAAACACACAAATTGAGGAACAGCTATGCTCTTGCACAGCAGGGTATGTCAAATGATCCTAATAATTATAAATCAAACATCTTATCCATAAATCTTGTGGAATAACACTAACACCGGGAGAGCCACGATCGGATTAGGTTAAAGTTACTTAGTCAGGGGTAAGATAACAAAATTCTGAAATATATTTTATCGTATGTCAGTGAGCATCCGTCTTGTCTTATTTTACGTTAAAACATATGCATTGTGACCAAAGTACCATCATTATTTCCAAGCAATAGGTATTTTTGTTAATCCTGTCGACATTTAGTTGTGAATGGGTCTCCCACTGTTTGATCACACCCATCATTTCTCCCCTCGGCTTTTAGATTGTCGGGAAGGAAAAAAATAAACTTTTAGAATACCCGGTATCAGATTTGCACAATCTATACGCACAATGCTTCGGTATGTTTCCCTCGCTCGAAAGCTTTCCAGACCTCCTGCGCTTAGTTACGGTTGCTAAGACACAATTGACCATTGACGGTTTTCGGGCATTGCTTACCGAAGGGTCAATTGATTCCTCTTTCGGGTCTCCTTGCCCTTGGATGGACACATACAGACAAAATTAGGTCAGAATATCAGTCTCGGCAAGTATTCTCGTAAACACAGTCGGTTTTATCTCAAGAGAAAGAGAACAAGAGAAAGATGTGCATCATTATAATGGATCCATGTATTCTGTCTTAAAGTGACAGCAGCCTATAAATACTTGCTGTTGTCTATGCAGTATGTAATCAATGTTAATCAAACTACAAACGTAGCTTTAAAAAAGATGAATCTATATTAAATTTATACAGTGAACATGGTGTTATTTTACATTTTATTATTAAATTTCTGTACCTGAAATGAATACAGTTAGACCTTACTTTATTCGTAACTTTGTAATATTGTATTTACCTATGCTTGTAATTTGGGTATTTGTTCTTATTTTTTACTGACTGCTGACTTAGACTAGTAGTTTTTATGTGGTATCAAAGTACTTAAAGTGTGCTTTAAGTAATAAACGGAAAGCAAAGTTACCCCCACCATTTTTTTCTTGCTGAATCAGAAAAAGATCCAATCCCTGACTGAAAAACCATAATATGATCCGGACCGTGAGTTTTGAGATCCATTGAACCACTAGTTCGTACTACGGTGTATCAAGTGTTGAAGAAGAGATGAAATTCATCTCCGACACGCTATAAGCAGTCAACCAATCACAACAGACTGGGCCATCTGACCAATCAGAGCAGAGCAGACTCTCGGAAAGGAGGGGTTTAGAGAGAATGAATCCTTTATCGAAATTATTTCAGACACTGTGAGAAAAGAGCTGATGCTGCAATGTACATTAGGAGAAAATTAAAGTGTTTTTTGACCTTGGAAGCATGTAAACCTATTGTAGGAGACCTCTAAAACTAAATTAAGAGCTTTTAAAATAGCATAATAGGGGCACTTTAAGTAATGACCTGAAACTTTACTACACTACAGTGTGCTAGCATGTGAATTTATCTGTATTACTGAAATCGCAGGGAAGAGTTAGTGTCCTCTAGGAAGATTAAACTGGACAGTGGCGTACCTGTCCCCCGACAGGTAGGGGGAGCTGTACGGCCGGAGCCCCGACAGCAGGGTGTGGTAGGAGTTGTGGAGAACCTTCTTGGTGCTACGCTGCCGTTGGAGGTGACTGAACAGTAATGTCAGTTCTCTGACCCACAAGCAAAAAATGAAAATAATCAAACATGATAAATGAAACAAAACAAAAAAAGGAAAAATAAGCCAAACTAACAAACACAAAGCTAAAAACAAAATAGTAAATTAAGCATCAAAATTCTTTAAAAAGACAGGGATTATTCAGTTTATAAAACATCTACTGATCAAATATGTTATTTGTGTACTGAAATACACACTTCCCTGTCATTTTAAATGATTTATTAGTCAAATTAATTCACCCAAAGATGAATGCATGTGGGATAAATAAATACAAATATATAATTAAGAATAAAAAATGTGGCATAAAACACTATATGGAAACACTGAGAAACTTCATAAAATGAATTAAATAATATTTTGAATTAAACAGTCAACCAATTATTGACCCATCAAAATTTGTGAAATTTGAATTTTGACAGGATCTGTTACATTACTTCTTGAGTTTTTAATTAGTGTTTTATCTACAAATATGTAGAACATACAAATCCTTCAAAGATTAAATTTGCATAAGAAGCAGACTATAAGATACAAGTTTAACTTAATTTACTTAATTCTTGTTCTAAGAATTTATTATTTTATTAATTTTGAAATACATTATCTAACTTAAAACATGAATCGCATTAGGGTTTTTTAATACTAAATAAGTGGTATATAAATAAATAAAAATGCTGGTTACAATTTCTGTTTCTCCACATTTTTCATCCCACATTCACTGGAACTAAAATTAAATCTTATGTAACTCAGGAAATCATTGCTTTCAGTACATGCAAAAATTAATGTTGCAGATGAATAAAACAAAAACAAAAGGAACGGCAAAACTATCAATAAAATCATGATTTCTGGGTCAAAGTACCATTTTTAATTTAAGTGAAATACATTTTGTGTCTGTGCATGGAGGATAATACAATATTATTTTCTCAGAAACATGATTATAAATCAGTCTGACTGATGCTGTAGTATTTGGGATATTTTGAACCCCTTCTTTTTGAAATCATGACCTGTCAGTCATATCAGTTACACACAAGGCCAGTTGAACGTGCACAGCACAGATAAGCATCTCCACCGAGGGCTTTGTTACATACTTACCTGAAGGACGGCAGCATACTGTCATAGAAATACCAGGTGGCTGTGAGATATGAGTGCTGAGCATCTGTAGAGTAGAGACGCCATGCAGCCTGGGGAGACAACACGACACAGCACGGCACAAGATGACCCACCCAGACGTACATGCACACAACACACACATATTTGGACGTGGAAATAGAAATCGTGACTGTGTGTTGCTGACGGAGCACTCACCTGTATGAGGTTGGCAGCGGGAGTCCTTCTCTTCTCAAAGTGTTTCTGCCGGTGCTGCTCCTGTACTTTCAGAGCAAAACCCGAACCCAGGATGCCCTTACAGAAAGGACAGAGGGCCATTAGCTGGTTTGGGATCAGTGGAAAAAGAAATGTCAACGGCCTTAAGATCAACAGCATTACTTACAGCGGGCAGGGCAAAGAAGGACACTCCCAGCAGGGCAAAGCAAGCCGCTAAAAGCCGACCTTGCCAGGTGCGCGGCGTCTTGTCACCGTAGCCGATCGTCGTGAGGGTGATCTGGGGGAAACAGTCGAGGTAAGAATAACTAAATGGCCAGGGGAGTCATGCAACAGCTAAATTCAAAACCTTATCAAAAAATGTAGGAAATTAAGGTTTTTGATGAAAACATTCCAGGATTTTTCTCCATATAATGGACTTCACTGGGTACCAAACAGTTCAAGGTCCAAATGAGAGTTTCAGTGCAATTTCAAAGGGCTTTAAACGACACCAGACAATGAATAAGGGTCTTATCTAGCGAAACCATCGGTCAATTCAAAAATAAATAAAAACATTAAGGTTTATAAGCACAAATGCTCGCCTTGCTCTGTTCTGTTCGTGACCCTCCTGTTCGAACTCGTTCATCAAAATTAACAAATCTTTTTTTGAATCATTTGGTTCATTCAACAAACGAAATGACTCGAAAAAAGAATAAAATGAGAAATAGAATCCAGGTGTTTTTTATTTATTTTTTAAATGACCGATTGCCTACCTGAGGTGATTTTGTCACACTATGCTAAACTGCATAATATCTCATCGTGAATACTTCTCACCGTTTATTCCCAGGATACGTCCGATTGCTTTCCATATATCCATCATTTTTAACGTATCCTTGAAAAGGGGGTTTGACTTGTCAAACAGTGGAGGATTTTTTGTACCTCAACGATTAACCTCTCTGCAATGTCATCTGCCATTTTAAAAATGGATTCTGATTGGTTGTCAGTGTTTTATCAGCTGGAAAAAAAAAACGTTCCAAAAGTGATCCCAACGATATCGTTCCTCATATCTTTATTGTTATAGTTGTGGTGTGAACTCTGTTATTTTTTTTTCAGAATTATATCTTTTTAGAATTTTAGATTTTTAGAATTACATCTTTATCTTTATAGTTATCGTGCTTGTAAACGGGCCTTTATTCATTGTCTGGTGTCGTTTAAAGCCCTTTGAAGCTGCACTGAAACTCTCATTTGGACCTTGAACCGTTTGGTGCCCATTGAAGTCCATTATACGGAGAAAATCCTGGAATGTTTTCATCAAAAACCTTAATTTCTTTTCGACTGAAGAAAGAAAGACATGGACATCTTGGATGACACGGGGGTGAGTAAATTATCAGCAAAAGTTTTTTTTTTTTAAAGTGAAATACTCTTTTAGTATTTGACAGGAATGAAAACGAGTCTGTGAGGGATAGAAGTACAAAGCTGATTATTCAGTCTTTCTGGAAAAAAACAACAACTTTCAGTTGACAAAAATACCATAAAAAGTTGTGGTTGTGAAAATGATGTGATCTAGGACCTTTAGTGTGTGCCATTGCAAAGACTGCACGTCTATCCCTCACAGCCTCATTTACACCAACATGGTGTCTAACCCGACTGAAGTCTATGGTTAACCAGTTTGGCCAGTGAAATCCATGGAAAGGTCAGGAGAAACTACAATAAAAAAGTGGGAATTCCAGAAAATTTAAACAAAACTAAATAATTTTTCCATCGACTGAAATAAAATAAGGAAAAACTAAAAAAGGAAAAAATAGAAACAAAAAATACATGACTCCAAACTAACTAAAACACAACATAATTTTCAAATTAATTTTAGTTTTCATATTTTACGTAGTAGATAGTAACCTTTACAACCCACCCGAACTAAAACAATAACAGTAGACTGAGAACTTTAACGCTGGTAAATATTTTTAAACCAGTTAAACCAGCGCATTAACTTAAAATATAAACTAAAACTGAAAAGAAAAAGTCTTCTTTAAGTCCACACATTATAAGTTTATCAAAGGTATACATATATATATATATATATATATAGGGGTCCAAGGGGTCTCAAACCAAGTTATTATATATATATATAATAACTTGGTTTGAGACCCCTTGGACACTTCTGATATCGACCTTACTAATTCTAACTCTGCGGATTCAGGATATTATTCAACAATCAGTCTATTAGAGGCAGAATTATAATCCCAGTAGAAATGAAACAAAATTGCTGCAACATCAATTTTCACAAAAAATATTCTGATCCCGGGAACTGACAGCGTTATTACACAGGTTGTTAGTTGTACTCACTGTTCCCCACCAGAGGGAGTCAGCATAAGTTGAAAACTCTTGGTTTTCTTCCTTCTCAGCCAAATAGACCAAGAAGGAGGCAAAGATCAGAACGAGGAAGCCAATATACCAGGCTGTGATCAGCTCCTGAAACACAAGAACAAAACGTGAGCAATGGAACCGAATATTGCAGCATTTATTACAATTTATCTGTGCACATCATTATCTTTTTTATATCATGAGCTCTGCAAATCTTTAAACCAAATATCTTCCCCTCCCTCTTGCAGCAACATCTCTTCTCTGATGATGTGTTTACTGGCGTGAGGGCGGGGAAACCTGTCACTCACATGAGATTCACTAATAGCAATCACAACAATCAAAAATCATATCCCCTCCCTACATTTTTTTTCACAATTCGAGAGGCTGGTTCACTTTATACTGTACATCACAATAGGGAAGAAAATACTATCACAACTTCCGTTTGATGCTGACTTAACAGCGTGTGTTTGGGGCGGGGCTATTTATGTAATTACTCGACCAATGGGGACAGAGTTTGGAAGCATATTTGAAAAGAATTGCTAATTATGCGGTTCTTTAGATTCAAGGTGTGAATACACACAAAACAAAACCGTTTGCATTATGTGTATGTTTCATAGGTTTTCATCCAAACATCTACAGTGACACTGAAGCGAACATCCTCTGATGGATAAGTGTGTGTGTGTGTACTGTCACCTTGCTGTGAGCGTACACCACAGAGCCCAGCAGCTTCCAGGTTCCTCCCCGGCGGTCCATGCGCACCATGCGCAAGATCTGCAGAAAACGCATGCTGCGCAGAGCAGATGTGGCGAAGATGTTTCCCTGTGTGCCTGCTGCTATCACTGCCAGCGACGCCACAAACACAATGAAGTCTACACAATGAGACATGATGACAAGAACAGAAAAGAGAAACAATATTTGTAAATGCATTCATTTCACCATAGGTGGGACATACCTTCATTTTTTGAGGGGACACATTTTTTGTAAGAAGTCAATAGTTTAGTGTACAGTGGATTGAAATCTCAATTAATCGTACATTGATATCCATGTACGCTACCTTTCAAAAGTTTAGGGTCACAAATGTATTTATTTTATGGAAAAAAATGAATAATTCAGCAAAGCATTAAATTTATCAATATAAAGACATTTAAAACGATAGAAAAGATTAGTATTTCAATTAAATGAATGTTCTTTCGAACATTCTAATAATCAAAGAATCTGAAAAAAAAAGGTTTCCACAAAAATAGCACTGTTTTTAACATTGATAATAATAATCAGAAATGTTTCTTTAGCAGCAATTCAGCATATTAAAGTGATTTCTTTTTTTAAATATATATATATATATATAAACTTTGTTTATTTTCACATTTTTTCCCTCTTACCTCAACAATAAAAAACACACACACAACAAAACAACAACATAACCCAGCAAATAATGACAAATAAATAATTATTACAGGTCAATTTCTTCATGTATACACAGGTATCGCATATAAATATCGCACGGGAATCCATTAAATGTACATTTCTTGTTTTCAATCCATATTAATACATGTTATTGCTTGCCATTCATGTCCAAAATAGTCTTTACAAATGAAAATAGTCTTTACCAATGTCCAAAATAGTCTTTACCAATCATTTACAAAAGTATCCAGAGTTCCATCCAGTACATTTTGCCGTCTTTCGTGTGGTAAGAGTGACAAGAGTTTTTCACGCCAAAGAGTGGGGAGCGTTCTTTAATCCAAACATGAAGTATGGAAAGACGAGCAGCATATAACATTATGGATTTTATTTTTGTTTATAACACAAAAGTGATTAGAGTGATTTCTGAAAGATCCTGAAGACACTGAAGACTGGAATAAGGATGCTGACAATTCAGCTTTGATCACAAGAAATAAATTATATTTTACAAAATAGTAAAATAGAAAACAGTTATCTTAAATTGTAATGATGTTTCACAATATTACAGTTTTTACTGTATTTTTAATTAAATAAATAGTCTTGGTGACTATCAAAACATTCAAAGTCTAACCGACCCCAAACTTTTGAATAGTGTACAGCTTTGACATTTCAATAATAATTATTTTTGTGTTACACATATGAGTTTCGAGGAACACGAGGGCGGGCAGATGATAGGGAGAAACTGGAACTGATTGACATGAATGGTGTTTTCTGCCACAGATCTTCACACAAACAGCTTTGTGCCCCTCATGATGCACCTGATCTCAGACTCCAGGTCTTTACACTTTACCTATGACACAGAAGGGTTTTCTGGCGAACCGTAGCCGGCCCTGCCATCCTCTGTACCGGCAGCAGCATCCGGCGGCCCACACCCTCACGAAATACTCCAGCCCAAAAACCACGATCATCACAAACTCCTGCAAGTCAAACCACATCAAATCATTTTCAGAATCAATCCTCTTAATAATGCCTGCCTTGTCCTTTGAAAATGGCAATAAATATATCAAAATTAAATAATAACTGATGACTGATGCTCTGCCATAAATATAGTACACTCCCTGGCAGTAAAGATTAAAGTATAGTAGTCAGTCAATTTACAAAAATGAAGATTGCTTTGCTGTAGACAGTAGGGTAGTGCAGGTCAAAACTGTGAACGAGTTGAATTGAGTCGATGAGTTTTTATAATTAAGGGTTTTTTGTTCAAATACCTGAATAGGGTCTGTGGTGAACACGTTTTCATGTTTAATTCTACGACATAAAATAGCCTACAACAGTAATGTGATTTTTTTTAAAAAGCTTTTGCTCGTCTTGAAAAGGAGGTTGCTAACAAGTGACCAAGGGCCAGATTAACTAACAGCTAGCACCAGAACAAACCCTTTTAAAAATACTGTCAGGATTTACTAAAGACATGCAGTGAACTTTTTTTTTTTTTGCGGCTGAACTTATTGCATATGCATTTGTTGGAGTTTCCCTTTCAGATGCAAATCTTATGAGAGGAGAACATATAATTGATTTACGCAAGAATTGCGCTAGTCTTAATATAACGCCCAAATAAAAAGCATTGTTGTTATTAGATAACCAACCTGATCATACGCTTATTTGCGCTGCTCTTAGATTGTGTTGGTCATTATGTAAATGATTCAGCTGGATGATTCAGCTGGATCTGTGTTCTTTCATTTGCATGTCAGTAGATCACGCGCAGAACTTTTCCCTTCCATTGGTGCGTTTATTGAACGCTAATTTGCCCTGCTTAGTAAATCTAGTCCTAAATGTGACTAGACATTAGACTCGAGGGATGTTAAACATCATCACATGTACTAACTAGTCCACTTTCACATCCTCTCTATGTATATAATCAGACTCTTGCAAATTCTTCAACTATGTTGAAGTCATGTGACCGTGGTGTAATTCGTTTATGCCTACGTTTAGCTTTTGACATTTGACAAGGCTTCAAAATTCATAAAAGTCATGAAGATTACCTTGAACAAAACATGTAAGAATCCTATGTTTTTGTTCGCCTTAGACCTTATTTTCTGCATTGGAAATATCCTATTGGGTTTTTGTTGAGGGAATCGGGGTGATGCGAACTTCGGGTTGGCCTACAAAAATACATCATCACTGCAGTGCTATATAGAGAGCCTAACTCTCTCCTCTTCCGGTTGACCACCATGGGACCTTATTTCGGAAAAATTAGTCAATGACGAGAGACAACAAATGTTTTGATCTTGTTTGAATTGTGCCCTGAATTACACATATGTTTGTCAATTTAAAAGATACATTTTAAAGTCAAGAAAGTCGCAGTTTGATGTAAAACTGTTGAGGTTTAAGACTGTGAAAATACGAAATTATAAAGACTACAAACCCCAAAAGGCGCACATTTTCTCTCAATGAATGAAGCTGACTTTACTGAGGCTAACTTTACTGAAGCTAACTTTACTGATGCTAACTTTACTGAAGATAACTTTACTGAAGATAACTTTACTGATGCTAACCTTACTGAGGTTAACTTTACTGAGGCTAACTTTACTAATGCTAACTTTACTGAAGATAACTTTACTGATGCTAACTTTACTGAAGCTAACTTTACTGAAGATAACTTTACTGAAGCTACTGATGCTAACTTTACTGATGCTAACTTTACTGAAGATAACTTTACTGATGCTAACTTTACTGAAGATAACTTTACTGAAGCTACTGATGCTAACTTTACTAATGCTAACTTTACTGAAGATAACTTTACTGATGCTAACTTTACTGAAGCTAACTTTACTGATGCTAACTTTACTGAAGCTAACTTTACTGAAGATAACTTTACTGAAGCTACTGATGCTAACTTTACTAATGCTAACTTTACTGAAGATAACTTTACTGATGCTAACTTTACTGAAGCTAACTTTACTGAAGATAACTTTACTGAAGCTACTGATGCTAACTTTACTAATGCTAACTTTACTGATGCTAACTTTACTGAAGATAACTTTACTGATGCTAACTTTACTGAAGATAACTTTACTGAAGCTACTGATGCTAACTTTACTAATGCTAACTTTACTGAAGATAACTTTACTGATGCTAACTTTACTGAAGCTAACTTTACTGATGCTAACTTTACTGAAGCTAACTTTACTGAAGATAACTTTACTGAAGCTACTGATGCTAACTTTACTAATGCTAACTTTACTGAAGATAACTTTACTGATGCTAACTTTACTGAAGCTAACTTTACTGAAGATAACTTTACTGAAGCTACTGATGCTAACTTTACTGATGCTAACTTTACTGAAGATAACTTTACTTTACTGAAGCCAACTTCACTGATGCTAACTTTACTGAAGCTAACTTTACTGAACCTTTACTGATGCTAACTTTACTGAAGATAACTTTACTGAAGCTACTGATGCTAACTTTACTCAAGCTAACTTTACTTTACTGAAGCCAACTTCACTGATGCTAACTTTACTAAAGCTAACTTTACTGAACCTTTACTGATGCTAACTTTACTAAAGATAACTTTACTGAAGCTAACTTTACTGAAGATAACTTTACTGAAGATAACTTTACTGGCTAACTTTACTGATGCTAACTTTACTGAAGCTAACTTTACTGATGCTAACTTTACTAATCCTAACTTTACTGAAGCTAACTTTACTGAAGATAACTTTACTGAAGCTAACTTTACTGATGCTAACTTTACTCAAGCTAACTTTACTTTACTGAAGCCAACTTCACTGATGCTAACTTTACTCAAGCTAACTTTACTGAAGCTTTACTGATGCTAACTTTACTGAAGATAACTTTACTGGCTAACTTTACTGATGCTAACTTTACTGAAGCTAACTTTACTGATGCTAACTTTACTGATGCTAACTTTACTGAAGCTATCTTTACTGAAGCTAACTTTACTGATGCTAATTTATTTTACTGAAGGTCTTACTAAACGTCTGTCATTGTTTCTATAGTCTTACGTTATAATCGTAACGTCAAGAGTGTTTTGTACCAGACTGCACAGACACGAGCAGCGGATCTTGTTCATTGTTTCACTTCCCAGGAAATGTAGTTCGATTTTCACATTAAACTAAATGTTACTCTTCAGTTTTATGACAAACTGCAACTTTCCTGACTTTCATAATTTAAATTGTTTTAAATTGACAAACATCACATGTGTAATTCAGGGTTCAGACGGAATAAACAGATGAGTTGTCTCTCGCCATTCACTACCATACATATTTGTTCCGAAATAAGGTCCCATGAGCCGAAAGCGGAGGGAAGGGACTAGGGTTCTCTATTAAGAGATTGATCTGATTTACGCTCTATCATGCGACTGCGTAAAATGCAACAGACGTTCTGGATTCACAGAGGCCTGTGCTAAATGCGTGTATTGATTACAGCTGCACCCGCGTTACAGAATGAGTGTCCAGGCATTACCAGAACTTGCATGATAGACAACATGGTCCTTTCCTGAAGGAGACCATTAAACACAAAAAAAGTGGGAGAGAAAGTCCGTGTGAGGGGGAAAGCACTTCATACTGAATGAGTGATTATAGAATTTCAGCTAAGATTATTGGATGAGGTCGGCTAGTTCTGCATACTCGACAACACCTGAATCCTGCCATGTGCTTACACTGCCATTTCCCAGAGCAGAGATCCCAGCGGAAAACAAAATGCACACTTAACGCAGCCACAGGGAGACATGAGACGGTACAAGAATGCTTACAGTGTGCCAATCAGATGAGAAATGAACCTGGCCTGAAATGCTGCTGAAACACTAATGAAAATAAGGCCTAATATGAGTTTCATTGCAGTTATAAAGAGAGCAAACGCCCCCTATTGTGAAGCCTTATACTGAACACAGACAACGGTTAATAAAGTATTAAAGTTTGTGATTCCTTAAAATAAACAGGACGTATAAAGACTCTTCAACCCTTATAATGAATCAAAACTTTCTACGGCATAAATGTACGTTTATGCTTACAAAGGATTTCAGAATAATGCCGGCTGGACTAATAAGATAAATCGCTTAGTAACACAATGGACAGCAAAACAGGCTTGCATACACGGCACATTTGATCCATATGCTGGCAAACAGAAAAAAATGTCACCTTTTTTGAAGACACTCCTCCAAAAACACCTCAAAAAAGATATATAGGCTGTGATTGGACAAGCTAACAGCCACGGAGAAAGCACTGTGCGATTAATTATTCAGATGATGGGCTATTATGAATATATTAGAGATGGCACAGACGATGTGGATATGCTGTTTAGTGAAGGTACTTAGATCAGGCAGTCTGTCTGCCAAGTTTGATTTTTTTAACTACATTTTTGGATATAAAACACAGGAAGGAAGTCAAACCATTTGCTCAACAGGTAAGAGAGAGTGAGTGGATTCATTTAAATGCAATTTAAGCGATATATAGAAAAACTGCATACTGTGTCAGATTTAAAGCCGTTTGGAGACGAAGCTCTGATTCAGTTAATAATTAAGAACTAACAAGAAATAATTCTCCGTTTTACTGTTGTGATTTCTCTGTTTATTGTAAAAATATTTGTGGGGCACATGCATTTATTCGTAGGCCCTGCTGACATTTTTTTTTTTTTTTTTTTTTTGCATTTTCAGAGCATTTCAGTATTGAAAATATGGTAAAATGTCTTAAATGGAGCTTACAGTGCAATTTTATTGGTAGCTGAACGCAAGCTCAAATTAGCCAAAATATTAAATAAATAATCGAGCAGTTGCATTTGTACTTAAAAAAAAAAAGGTTTTTGTTCCTGCTGGTAGATAGGTATTTGTTATTACACATGCTGTAATTTTTTTGTCTACTGTAGACATAAAAAAACGCTCTATTGATGGCCATTCAAGTATTTTCTAAACAAACACTTTTTTAACAAGAAACATATAAATTGCGATTATTTCTATCCAGCTAATAGGGACCATTCTCAGAACTTTGGCAACTTCTTCCAGGAACATTAAAGGGATAGTTCCCTTTGAAATGAACTTTTGGTATGTTTTAGCTTACCTCAAGGGCATCCAAGATGTAGGTGTCTTTGTTTCCGCAGTAGTTTAAATTTTGCTATTTTTAGGTCAAACCGTTCTTGTCTGTCAGTCATATAATGCAGGTCTATAGTCACCACCTCAAAGAGCATGCACAGAGAAGTCCAAATTAAACATGATTTAATTACTTGTAAATGTAAGTACACATTGATGGCCTAAGACACGAAACGAGCGGTTTGTTTGAGAAAACGAACAGTATTTATATCGTTTTTACCTCTTGTAACCACAGCCATGTCCAAGTGATCTGAGGGAACAGGCGCTTTGTGGCTACTAGAGGTAAAATCTATATAAATACTGTTCGTTTTCTCACACAAACCGCTCGTTTCATGTCTTAGGCCAACAATGTGTACTTACATTTACGAGTCATTAAATCATGTTTAATTTTGGACTTCTCTGCGCATGCTCTTTGAGGTGGTGACCATAGACCTGCATTACATTACTGACAGACAAGAACGGTTTGACCTAAAAATATCAAAACTGAAACTACTGCGGAAACAAAGGCACCTACAAGCTAAAACATACCAAAAATTAATTTCAAAGTGAACTATCCATTTAATAGAGCGTTTGTTCAAGTTATCTGGTCTGTAATGATGTTCTCAAATATTGTTAAACATTGTTTATATACATTGTTCATGGAATGTATTTTCTGAAATGTTTTAGTTGGGTATTTGTCTAACATTTTACTACATGTACCAAAATGTTTAGTAAACATAACATAAACAAAACTAACATTTCCATAAATGCAAAATTATCAAATGGAATGTTCCCAATCGAATTAGAAAGAATATTTAAAAAACTGGATGTTTTGAACATTCAGAGAACATTAAGAACATTTTCATAAAATAAAGGGAAAGTTAGCAACTCATTCTAAGAATATATTTTTGTTAGCTGGGTATACATTATGTTTTACCAGTGTCTGGTGTTTTTTGGGAGAGTCTTAAAAGCATGAAACTGCCTTTGACATCAGCGCTAAGGACAGTTGTGCATGTGCTTGTGGTGTCAGCATTATTATGACGTCATTCTCCTCCAGAGGGATTAGTATTGTTAGTCTGTTTAAGGTATAGTTTGTGTGATTTTAACCCCTTACCAGGATGAAGAGTGCTTCGTTGGCATATTTATGATGGTCTGGAATGGTGGAGAAAACAGAAAGCACCAGACAGCTGAACACTAGGAGAAAACTGAAACACAAACAAACACACACAAACTAACAGATCAAAATACAAAACACAACTGGGGTGAGTTCTAGTCTTCATCAGGTAATATGTAATCATGTAAAACACAGATTTTATAATTGTTTTTGATTTGATTTCTTTTTTAATCTATACCATGATGCCTCAGGAAACAATGAAAAAAAATCCAAAACAGCAAAAACATACACTACTTTTCAAAAGTCTGGGGTCAATACGAAGAAAATATAGTATTTAAAAGAACGTATTTTAGATCAAATAAATCCAGTGAGCATAAAAGACTTCTTTCAAAATCTTGCTGACCCCAAACTTTTGAACAGCATCACAATGACACAGCAAAGACTGTCCAAAAACTCAAACACAAACATGTGATCCACACGTACTGATGGATATAGGCCTCTGGTGGACCGAAAAACTTGGGCGCCATGACAATGACACCCCATAATCCAAGTTGGCACTTATCTTATACACACAGATGCACTTAATCACTGCTGTCACAGACCCCGCTCGGAAAGCCCAGCATGCCTGCCCAAAATGGAGTGCGTAAAAGCAGAGATTACATCCCAACTTCCTGCCGTTTCTCGGGAGCACTCAGACCCTTTGGGAAAAGGGGCGCTTTTTAGTAAGAACCTTGTGGGATTTGTTCCGGGCGGTCCCAGTTGAAGCACCGCGAAAAGCTGGACTCGCCCCGCGGTTCTTAGGGAAGTTGTTGGAGTCCGAACGGCTCCGTGCAAGCAGCTGCTGCTGGGGAAGATGCCAAATCCCACAAGGACCCAAACCCGACACATCTGGCCCGCTGGCTCGTACCGTCCCTCGCTCGCATTACGTCTCAGCTTTGCAATCTAACTGCAGGAGGAGAGAGTGCAATTGTTCAGCTGTGCTCTTGGCCATAATGAGACTGTGTCCTTCTTCAGGGTAGTGAGGAAATGTGAGATGATTCAAATAACAACAGAACCTTGTTGCCTATTTGAAATATAACACCTGAGGCTTTCTCATGGTCAGTTATTGATATAAACGGGGTAGATGCTAATAGCACACACTCTATGGGTGAAAAATGTTATGAGTCTGACAGATCGTAATGAGCGGACGTACACCGATTCACTCAGAAAAGAGGAAGGAGACAAAGATAGGTGACGTCTTCCTCAAAAAACAGTACAGTTAGAGGGTTATCACCTGACATCAGAAGAGGCTGGAAACACCTAAGGCCAAGGATAATAATAAACTTCCCAAAGTTTACTGTCTTTACCATCCCAAAGAAAAAACATCAGCAAAGAAGACTGTAATCCATGCCTTCGTGTGTAGGACGGGGTAAAAGAAGCAGAAAACAAATCTATTTTACAAATCATGGATGAGTGGAAACACCTGTTGTTTAAAGAAAACAAACAGGATTAATAATGCATGGATTTTAGTGCTAATTTAACATGCACAAACACTTTTCGAACGCATTTAATGGACTTGGTTTCTGGAGGCATTTTCCAAAGTTTAAACAGTTTCTGAAAGTACGCAATCTGTAGTCTCTGGTGCACACGAATTGAAGTCCAAAGCGCTAGAAAAAAGTATGACCTTTTAAACGTGCTCTTCAAACATCCTTTATGCATAACTAATATTTTGGAAAACCTCGGAAGACTAAAAGGTCATTTCATCGCTGCACCGTTTCTGCTGAGTATGACTGAGAGCTTGTACTGTAGGTAAAATGATCCCTCATGAAACAAACTTTAAAAAATAAAAATAAAACAAAAAGCACTGAGACCCAAGGCCCAGTTTCCCAGTCCTGAATCATCAATAATCTGACTGGATGGACAGAGGAGGAAAATGCCCAGAAACTGCTTAGACCCCAATAGGTTTCCATCAAAAAACGATGAACGCAGTAAAAAAAAAGATACATTAGTCCATGCAAAGAACACGTGCGGCTAGCATTTCAGCTGAGAAGCAAGTTCTGAACCCAACCCCCAAGCCCAAAGACAATCTGCCAAAAGCAGAAATCAAATCCTCAAATCAGCAAAAATGACAGTCTCACGAGGTGAAAACAATGCGGTGCCACGAGTGTTTGTATTTCCTGGTAAGAAGCACATGATTTGGCTGTAAATCATGTCGATATCATTCTCTGATGTAATGCCTGCATTGACACTTGATCCAAGTTGAATTTTGGAGAGAAAGGCTTATCATATATAACAAATGTACCTTGTAAACACACAAAAAGAAGAAGAAAGCAGATAGAAAACAACTGACACTCTTTATTTTAGTTCAAACCAAAGAAAACTAAACTCTGCAAACAGCCCATTAACTGTAAAAAATATTTTCATGATTTGTAATCACAACATTTTTTCTTGTCAAATCAACTTAAATAATTTATGTAGTTTCAGATAGCATAATATTTTGAGTTCCTGATGATTAAATCAATCTCCTTCATTGTATTAACTCAATTTTACAAAAAGGCAACCAGGTTACTTCATTTTTTAAGTTAAATCAACAATATTTTTTTTACAGTGTTGTACTCTCTTGCAAGTAATGGGACAACATAATGCTTTTTGACTTTCTCAGTTTGTGTTAATCTACTTATGGTTTAGAGTATTTATTTTTCCCCACATTAATTTTCCACATGTCTAGTACAATTATGTGGTTTTGTTTTATTAATACAGACTATACTTTTTTCTTGATTTACCCTGAAAGAATGGAAGTGAAATGTGACAACATGCCCCATTGGTGGGGTACATTGTAACATCACCATAATGACAGCTTAAAATGCTACAGTATCTGATCTAATAAAAATACATACAAGTTAAACCAAAATATTTTCTTAATAAAATACAATTATTAACTTTTTCATATAAAATAATAGCATTTTTAATAATTAAAAATCTACTAATTTTTGAGTTTGACAACAAATACACTAGAAAACAGAGCTATACAGCATAGTTCAAAACAAAATAATAATTAATAATTTCTGAATATTGACTCTCAGTCTTTATTTAGATGTTTCTCATGCTTTCTCAATAGAATTCATAAAGTATAGAATATAATATCATATTTATAATAGAGGCACATTGTAACGTAGTGTTACGACATGCCCCAACTGCACAACTGGGGTTTAAACCCTGCTAGTTAGCGAAGCATTAAAGAACTATAGAGATTGGAGATCAAAATAATATCATATTTGTCTAGTAAAGTAAAAGTAGTGATGAAAAATGATCTTAAAGGGTCACTCCACCTCTGGAAAGATGCATGTGTATTTAAATGGGTAATTTAGAAGAAATGTGAAATTATTTTTGAATTTGCAGCTTTCTAGACTGAGAAAAGCCAGAAAATGTATTTTTTGGCTTATGTGGATGAAAGACAACAACTCCCAGAATGCACTTGCTTCGCTGCCCAAGGAGGCCACGCCAGAGACTATTTATATAGAGACATGCCACTTCCTCAATCTTTAATACAAATATATAGGGAAAACCCGTAACACCAAAGATGGCGGTTGTATTCAAATGCCCCGCCCCTCCCACTGGACAGCCAATCGTCTGCGGGCTGTGGGAGAACAGCGCGAGAATTTTATTTTGTTTTCTTTTAAATTCAAGAGAATCCCAATATAACCAATTTATCCAGCAACAGACTTTTCATACAGGATCCAAACAATGTATCCATCCAGTTTTGGCACAAGAAAATATAAGTCACAAGCTTTATGTTTTTAACATCTTATATTTCACAAAATTGAATGTGGGTTATGAAATAAACCTTGCAATAATGATGCATGATCTGCTTTGTTCTTCTCATTCTCTACAAGCAACCCGACTCACACTAAATGCGTCTCTAGCATGCAGTGTCTTTATAGTGCAATTTATATGTGAAAATTAGTTTTTATGTGCATAGGATATGCAAGGGTTGGTTAGGGTAAGTTTAGTAGTGGTGTGGGGTGCGTGTGTATTATACGTTTGGGTAGAATTAGTGGTGTGGGGTGCATGTGTATTACACGCAAATGAAATGCATGCGAAACTGCATCTCATATGCACATAAAAACTCATTTTCAGGTATAAATTGCACGATAATACACAATGTGTGCTATAGAGATGCATTTACGTGAGAACAGGCAGCTACAATACATGAAGATGAAGTACGCTGTAAAGGAACCTGCTGTGGTCCTCATTAGACTAAATCTTTACTTATTCATCACTTGGACTGTTAATATGCCATAAAAGCCCCGGCGAGATGAAAGCATGAGGACATAGATATGGGCCATGGGTAAACAGAAGGGGATGATGAATAGAGAGGGATTTACACATTGCTGAGCTGGACTCTGTAGACTGTACGCCACAAAACATCTGCACATAATGCCAGAGTCTCTGACCCTAATTCAATCACAGCAAGCTGATGGACCAGGTATCGGTTACACACACAGAGAGATAAACATTAACCTACGCTGAGAGTGAAAGAAGGATAAATGTTCGGAAGTGACTCACTAGAGCTGCATGATTCGGGATCAATTGAGAATCATGATTATTTAAAATAGAGATTGTGATTCTCCTACACTGTAAAAACCAATTAGTTCAGTTTACTTATTTTTATTATGCAAACTCGTTGCCTTAATGGTACTTCAAACCAGTCAAGTAATGTCGGAGGTAATGTCAAGGTTTTTCTGAGTAACGAAGGTATAGCATGCAAACAGTACAGATTACTAAGAAATTTTAAGTAAGTTCAACAAATGATTGGACAAAAAATTCTTAGTAAGAACAATGTTAAACTAAATATATTTTTAATAGAAAACAAAATATGTATTTTACTAGATGTTCTGACAATGTTAACTGCTGCAGTCTATATAAAAAAATATTTAATTCATTTAAAGTAGTTTGAATGAATGATTCAATGAACCACTCGAATCAATGAATCAAGGCTTCACGTTTTATTACTGGAAGAATCAGCGTTTTGAACAAATCTTTTGAATGAATGATTCAATGAAACATTTTTCCAACAGTCACTTGTAAATCTTTATTTGAAGCATCAATTTA